ACAAATAGGCAATTCCTGTTGGGAACTATACTGCCTTGAACACGGAATATTGCCAGATGGTCAGATGCCCTCTGATAAGTCTATTGGAGCATGTGATGACGCGTTTAATACCTTTTTCAGTGAAACTGGGAGTGGAAAGCATGTTCCCCGAGCAATTTTCATTGACCTTGAGCCAACTGTAATTGACGAGGTCCGAACCGGCACATACCGACAGCTGTTCCATCCCGAGCAATTAATTTGTGGTAAAGAAGACGCAGCTAACAATTACGCTAGGGGTCACTACACTGTGGGAAAGGAAGTGATAGACCTTGTTCTTGACCGTACCCGTAAAATTGCCGACCAATGTACCGGTCTTCAGGGTTTCCTCATTTTTCACTCGTTTGGTGGGGGAACAGGATCTGGATTTACCTCACTGCTGATGGAAAGACTGAGCTGCGAATATGGAAAGAAATCGAAGTTAGAGTTTTCGGTTTACCCTGCCCCCACAATTTCAACTGCAGTTGTTGAACCGTATAACGCCATTCTTACAACCCACACAACCCTTGAGCATTCTGATTGTGCATTCATGGTTGATAATGAAGCCATTTTTGATATTTGCCGGTAAGATACATCTTATTGAAGCTTTACCTCTTTAGCCGAAATCTGGATATTCAACGCCCAACTTACACCAACCTTAATCGATTGATAAGTCAGATTGTGAGTTCGATTACTGCATCTCTGCGTTTTGATGGAGCCCTAAATGTTGACCTGACCGAATTTCAAACGAACCTTGTGCCATATCCCAGAATTCACTTTCCATTGGCAACATATGCTCCCATTATTTCGGCTGAGAAGGCTCATCATGAACAGATGAGCGTCGCAGAGATTACAAACGCCTGCTTTGATCCTGCGAATCAAATGGTAAAATGTGATCCTCGCCGGGGCAAGTACATGGCTTGCTGCTTACTATACCGTGGAGATGTCGTACCAAAAGATGCAAATTCTGCTATCGCTTCAATTAAAACTAAGAAAAACATTCAATTTGTTGACTGGATTAAAACAGGCTTTAAGATTGGAATAAATTACCAACCACCCACGGTAGTGCCAGGTGGTGACCTGGCTAAAGTAAAGAGAGCCCTGTGTATGCTAAGCAACACGTCTGCTATTGCTGAGGCATGGGCTAATCTCGATCACAAGTTTGATCTAATGTTTGCAAAGCGTGCATTTGTTCACTGGTACGTTGGTGAGGGAATGGAGGAGGGTGAATTTGCGGAAGCCCGTGAAGATCTGGCTGCTCTTGAAAAAGATTATGAGGAAGTTGGTTTGGATAGTGCCGACGTTGAGGATGAAAATGAGGAGGAGTACTAGTCTTTAATTTTGTGTGACAATTTCCCTTTACTTCGAAAACAGAACCTGGTCCAGTGATACCTTTACTAAATCCCCGTGTTTAATTTTAATTAATGCACTTAAAGATTAAAAACGACTTTGAAAAAATTTCTTGGTTATTCAATAAATTAAATGCAAGCGCTCAGAGCTTTAGAGAAATATCTAATGGAAAACGAGCGTGATAAAAGTACCCTGTCAAAGGATTTATAAATGGCATTTTTGGAGGGTGGATTGTTGCTTTATGAAAGGCATAAACATGCATTTGCAAGACTTGAATTTATATATAGGCCTCCTAGAATTAAATCAACGACATATTCAAGGCAGTAAATAGTAGTTTTGCTTTAAAACATGGAAATCCGTTTCTCTCAAACTCTATCGCGTTGCTTGAAACCCAATAATATCACTGTGAAAATGTAAACACTAAATGTGAATGCATCCGGATTAGAGTTTTTTGTAAAGATTGTATAAGAATTGAAAGCACACCATAATTGACATCATTTCTAAAAGGGTAAATCCAGAGGTACGGGAGGGAACGTTTGGAACTGCAAATACGAGTGTTCATGCATGAAACGTGGTGTGGGATTTAAACAAAATGACGACAAAACTTTCTGGTAGATTTTGCGCTCTTCTCCTATGAATGACCTCTTGCACCTAACAGAAATTCTTGTCATTTTAGTGCATCGCCCTATTAATTTGGAAGTTAAAACCATCGAAATACTAGTTGGAGGTCTACTTAAAATTAGCTGTAAAACAAAACAGACATGTTCACTAAAACATTATACAGTTGACTGTCTTTTAGTTTTATCTTTCCACACGAGGTTGCTCCACTGTGCATAAGGAAGAATAGGTCTAAGTCTTAAAGTGATTGGATACACTATAAATGAACAATGTCAATAGCAGAGCAGGTCCTGAGAAGTGTAGTTTACTAAAAGGATTTGTTATAGTTAACACGTGATTTCCTGTTTCTGGAGGTAATTTTGATTGTCTAACACTTAGATGCGTTAAAAACTACAGCTCTTTTAATAGTGTGCGCAATATTAGTGTTGGTTTGGAATCTACTCACAAATATTTTCAAAACGAAATGCACTGCTGAATGATAACGTTGTATTACACATGCGGTTAATGGAACAGCGATGGCATGACTAAGTAACTTCATTTTCGATGCATTAATTTTGATGATTGCTTGCTTTGGCTACTGTGCAAATCGACACCTTGAAGTGTACACCAATTAACAGAGAATTTGTGGCTATCATGGAAGCGTTTATTGGCTTGGGTTTGCGCTTATGCGACCTGCTAACACTATTCTCTAAATTAAATCAATCAGCAGTCTAGATTTTAGATGCCGTGAGGTGGTGAAATCATGGGGGCTAACTCGTGTCGCCAGCAATCCACATAATTGGATTGGTCAACCCGGTTCGTCACTTTAACACCAAACCGTTTCATTCGCACGCTCTACGCGAAGGCTGCTTGTGTGCATATGCACACACCTGTGGGTAACCAAAGCGTGACACTTTGTCATTGCTGTTTAACTTAATTTCGTGACGTGAAGTCGGTCTGCAATCAAGAAATATTGGCGTTTTTAAAAGTCCCATTTGGGTAACCAAGTTTCTCTTTGATCTGACCACCATTGATATTGACCAAAATATTTTGCATTCGGGTTTCCAACACTAAATCTTTCGAGAGCATTCTAAATAAAGAAAGTCATAAATGTCCAAAGGCCTTTCAGTCCAATCTATTTAGCAAACTACAATTTCTCATGGTTATTACTCATTCTGAAATAGGAAGTTGTCCAATTGGTGCAACTAAATCCCATGTCCACACCCCTGCCTGAACAGTTCAGTACTTGACGTTTTTCGTAATACCTGGCTGATGTATATTGATTATTGTAGCAGGGGGGCAAAACCTTGTTGTGTTAACAAAACCATACCAAAGCTGAATGCTATAGCTAAAAGCGGCTCTGAATGGATATCGAACACCGGGTAATTAGTTCTCAATCCAACATCATTGTAACTAATGGACGTGACCTCTACATTCCTGCCTTGAAAGGTGCAAAAATTTGCAGGAAGAGCGTGATCACTCAAATCACGACAAAAGAAGCTTGTTTCTTGATTAACCTAGGAACACATAATAACAACTATAAGAAGGTGATTAAAAGATCTTCGCGTTCCTACTTGGAGTCTCTTTAGCGTATCAGCGTTACAGGTACGCTTAAAAATCCTCCAGGTCAATCCAATCAATCTGATAGATAGTTGAAGGCATTCATCAAGATATCAGAGGCATTGCATAATCTATGATGTCCTGTAATAGTATTCTTTTTAGAACACACAAGTGAGGGTCTCACCTTGTGTACATTCGTTTCTTTCCCTAAAGATTACTTATGCAACTTCGAGGTTAAAAAGTGACCATAAATTCATTTGCCTATCATCGGCTTTGAGACACAATATACATCGACTTCACCTCCTTGAACAAAACCCCGCATCCCTGGGTGGACATTAGCATTTGTGTTTGGTTCAAAATGCACGTTCTCTAAAGCAACTTCAAGAAGATTAATTGCCCAATGGCCTTCGAGTGTTGCTGCAGTTTGTTCATCAAGAGAATCGACTGACCTGCTGTTGAGATCCTCCAAAGGCAACAATTCTAATTGTGCTGCCTCCTGTTTTGTTATCAGGCACTTTGAGTGGCAAAGGCCCCATGACTACGTTTGAAATGAGTATTATGAGAAATCATACTCTTTTCATCAATTACCCTCTGTTTCATCATCACTAGTAGCACTTTACTTTTCTTAACCAGTAAGGTGGCACTTATAGGACAATGGAAGAATGTCCTACAAACGAGAAACACGTCATTCCTGCATTTCATTTCAGGTAACTTTGTAAACAACATCTACGTGGAAACACAGACACCTGACAGATAGCAGAACCTAGGACTTGTACCAGGCTCCTAGTTTCCAACATAATTAAAGAAAGCAAGTATATCTTACACCTAGGGGCGGTTAAAAACAACAAATGTCTAAATGACGCATCTAATGTGACAGAGTAGCATATACCGAAGATTCCGCGACACTCGTGCAACTGTTGCTACGCCTGAGTCAGCTTGAGAGTTGAGAGCGTTTATGTAAAATCCACACAGTTACACCACTTGTTAGCGTGGGATCGCTCTCTCACATAGCACCTACGAACTGAAACTCGACAACACGACTGCTCAGTTTCATTGCAGTCAGTACAACTCCACCTACTGACATCAATTCAGACCGTCAAGCAGTGAGCCAGCATGCTGGATACTTTAACAGACATGGCATAATCACCATGCGACAGTGGCCACGACGACCCAACGAGCAGTTCAAATAGTTCATGGTCCTGGGCGAGGATCTTGTGTGAATTTTCAAAAGTAAACGATTGGTCCAAATTTAGTGTGAGCATTAAATTTTAACATAATTTACAAGCAACGAATCACCCAAAAATGAAAACAAGGCTTACAGCTTTATGCTCTGCAGTATATTTTCATTTAAACTTATACAAAATACCCTAGGTACAAGAATCACAGCTGCCAGCTGGGGTCGATATCACCTAGAGTTAAAAAGCCCTCGAGGCCGATATATAAAGGTGGCCCCACCCTTTAGCATACGAGAACCTGTATGACCCTTTCTGAGCGTCCAATAAGGTTTTGCATCTATTTGGAAACCAAGAACCACTCACGATCACTCCCAGCCTCTTTCGAAATGAAATAGGTAGAGACCTGTTGTCTAAAACGGTCTCTTTCCGATTTCGATAAATAGTCCACTAGTAGTAGTTCCGACTGTCCTGAAGCTGAAATCAGTGTAATTCGATTGCACTAAGGCGCAGAGTCATAATTTCGTGGTGGAGGCAGTCATTCCAGACATAGACCTCAAACAAGGCATTAGTTTCTAAACATTACAGTCTAATAAACCTAATACAAATGTGAATGGGCAAAAAGACAGATTGAGACGACGCGTTCATGTGTGAATAGGCCGCGGAGGGTCGTTTGAGTAGCTTCAAACACACTAAAAATTAAAAAAATTTATTTAATGTGCAAAAAAATTCAAAACAAATGCGCTACGCACAACTACTAAGTAGTAACATTTGTTCCGTACACCGTTAACTAAAGAAACCGCTTCCGATGTACCTCCAAGCTCTTCTATTCTAAGTAGCATTAAAAAATCGATGACAAAATTGGCCGCAAGTACGCAAATTGTCTGCAACGTCCAACAAATGAGCTCATTACGAAGGTAAGGGTAGTAATGGCAGAAATACGAGTGAAACTATTCATGATTTTTAAGCAGATTAAACACCGATCTCTCATAAATACAACAAGTAATTGTCATAAAGCATTTGCCATAACAATGAATAGGAATAAACCTCATTTAACGAGTCACTTTATTGGCTTCATTCAACCAAAAATGGTCAGATAAGCACTATTACAATGCATTTCTGAATTAATTGACAAATTATGTTTAAAGGACCAGAAGAACACATATGACCTAATTACACCGCAAGTGAAAGTGAAATACAGAATTCGTATTATAAAAGATTGGATAACAAAAAAGTGCTTTCATGGATATTACTCGGCAGCTTAAATGCAGAAATGAGCGAGTAAAGTCAGATATTATTGTGTAAAATATTTACACGCAACTAATATTTAAACGTTTGAAGGGTTAAAAAGAAAACTCATCAGTAAAACTTGTCAGCGATATGTTCAGGAATATTTACAGAAGGTACAAACTTACAGGAGAGAGCCCGATTAATAACGAAGTTCCTTCGGAAGATAAATATGACCGTAAAAACGACGCAAGAAGGAAACGGTATCATCTGCCTCTTTATCACCGGACTTGGCCTTGCCTTTGGAGCCCACGGGGCCGTTTTCACGTTCCCAGAGCATCCGATGTTTTTGTTTCATGAAGGCGTCACGCACGTCGCTCCAGAAGAAGAGCTCGCCGTCTAAAGACACAATTTTACAAATCGATAGCTTGAGAATACCAAAATGTTACCACACTTAGGTCTCTAGGTTAAAAATCTTTGCTTGAAGCATAAATGATGCTTAAACTACCCAAAGTCCAATTAAAAACTCCAATGATCGACAAGGCGTAAAGAAAAATAAGCGGAACTGCAGAAACCAGGAAGTAAATATTTACGAAATCGTCAATGGAAACCCAGCATAAAATATCAGGTTCGAGAGCCATCACTTGAACTTGGGTGGTACGGCAATGTTTTCATATTTTCGCATGAGCAGAATTAGTATTCGAAATAATGACGACGGGTGCCTCCAGAAAAGCATCCAAAGTAAACCGTGAGATTCAAATAATTTGATACAAAAAAGATAGTAAGCATGAGGTCCCATACGAGTACAGCGCAGATACACGACCAGACTTTTAAAAGATTGAATATTCTTCAAAACCAATGTTCCGACGAGCACAAAATCGTAAGGCAAAATTCTGAGTCCAACCACTGCCAGGGATAAAAGTCCTACTAAGCCATAAAAAAGTTCGAAGGGTCACCACATTGTTGACACAATAGTGCATTCATAAACCCCAAAGCAAATAATAAAGTTTGAAGGAACGCTCATGCAACAATATTTGTGAATTATATTAAGTGATTACACCAAAAACTAAACACACTTTGATCCGTGTTGACGATTTAGATGTCAGTAGAAGGTATTTTATGAAGCCTAAAATTCAGATTATGCACGTACACTTGATAAAATAGTTAGTGGCAGCCTCCTCATGTTCTTCAATATACGTTTTGCAGAAACGATCCATATCCTCATAGTCTCGGTCATACCACCGTCTACAAGCCTCACGACGTTGACGAAGAATTCGTACGATGTTAGCGTCCACAAGTCTATAACAAAAAAAATTGTGATACTAACACATGTCTGCATCAAAATATACAAAAAAAATTAAACAACGACCTATCACGGTGAAATTGATCGTTGGCCTCAGCTATACAGACTCTGTCACCAACTACACAAGTGTCAATTTCAGGAACACGCGCAAAACGCTGGTGATAGTAGTAGAATTTTTTTCTAGGTATCCGGTCAACAATTTGCTCTGAAAGAAAGTAAGAAAAAATCTTACAACGCACCTCTGAAAAAAGTCACAGGTACATCTATTAGACTCGTAAGAAATGGAAAAAGGGATCTAACAGCCCATGGTTCTTTATAAGGCTTAAAGATGTCTTCACGAGAGATCTCAAATGAATGATGGCCGTCACCATCATGGACATTCGCCTGGTGGCTCATTTCGGACAATGTACAAAAAACCCGCGAAAGCAAATCAACCAGCATAACATCAATAACAACAGCGACAAAACAGAAAAAATTCATTAAAAAACAAAAAATACTTACCCATTTACAAAAACTTGCATTATAAGGGTTTTATAGTTAATATTCCGCATGCGCAACTATACTCTTATATGCTGCCAAAAGTGTACAAAAATTGAAATATGTTGGTCAAAATTGAATTTATCATCATTTACGTAAGTAAATCATTTTGCCATAAAAATTAGGCTACATTTTTTGCATCATATATCTGTGATTTTTGTTTTTTTCTGGCAAAAACATGTCACACATATTCTTTTGACCCAATGTTAACCACAAGTTTATTCGTTATATTTTATACTTTCATTTTTAATTTTTTTGAGATTTCGTTTTGAGTTAAAATTAATGTAGTACCTAAATCGAGTCTACCCGAATATTTAGTTTCCAATAAAGGTCTGTAGTGAATTTGTGTGAAGTGCCTCGCCACAACGTATTTAATGCTTTGTGGGCATAAAAAAAGTAGTGGATACAAAATCAAGTTTATCTGTATATCTTGACTAAAAGTTAGTCGCTAAATATAATAGGCTATTTTATTAACTCGATAGAATGATTTTGGTTTGAACTGCTGGACAAGGAATTTTTTGCCATTTGTTTATAGAAAGAAATAAGAAATTAAATCATAACCTCAAACGAAAGGGTCGCTATCGACTCGACACTAAATGTGCAAGTTGATTCAAGCCGGTTATGTATTTAAAGATACTTTGGTTTCTACCTGAGAAATTCGTAAATAAGCAAACACTGCAATGTTCGCATCTAAATTTCGATTTATGCTTTGTCTGACTATATTAGTTCCGATGCCCATATCCTATGCTAAAAATCTAATGTTCATTTGGTTTATAATTGCAGTACCAAATGCAAAGTCACAGGCACAGAAGGTTAAACGTCAAAAATGTTTTTTGTTGTGCTTCAGTTGGTGCGCGCATAATCAATCTATCCTACTATCTTTTATCTAACTACAAGTTCAAAATAGGCGTGCTTTTAGGCCTTAAATCTTGTTCGCTGCTCGCTTATATGAATTCTAAACCAGATTGCAACTATTCCAACGCCTTAAAGGAAAAAAAACTTGACATTGAAATTAACGGCTATATCTAATTTTGAACATCAATTCACGACTAACCGCCCATGTTACACTTATTATGCAATTTTATATTATGGTTCGTAAGCTGGAGGTAATTCACTACGACTATTAACTATATTAATACGTGTAAAATTTAGGATTTGTCTGCAATTTTACCCTAAAAATACAATTAAAACTTCTAATCATGTTTGTGTAATTTCGAAAAAGACATTAAAAAAGGTAAATTTTCAGCAACTTCTAGCATGCCTTATTTTACATTGTCATTTGTCCTAAAAAGATCTGAACAATCTTTTGTTTTTTTTTGTTAGATAAATTCGCCGATTTGTTCTTTCCGTTTTTAATCATGAAGTTCAGACTGCGTGAATTATGCTTCCTAGAAATTACTAAATTTTCACATCACGATTTTTATTCAGGTTCATCTAATAAATCTTCCAAAAATTTAGATAGAATCCAAATTTCTCATTGTTAATGTTTCTATAATAATAAATATTTACTAATTGCTTAATGGGAAAAATGTCCAGGAAATATAAAATAGGAATGGATACATGGAACATAATTATAATTTAAAAAAACAAATAACGCCATAACTTGCTATTACCTCCAGGTCATCTTTTAATTTAATGCATATATTCCAAACTTATGGAATATAATGGTAATCAAAAATATTATTTATTGTTTATGTGGTGCAAAGTAAATCAGCTTCAACAAAACTTTTGGCAGGGGATTAAATTGGAAAACGTTGCTTTCAAGAAAACCACTTCTGTTTTATATTGACTAATTCTTTTTATGTTAATAGCCAACAAAATAACCTAATAGAGTGAGCAATACAATAATAAATTTTTACTTGTAAATTGGGGAAAGTGAACATCATATTAATAGCCTGAACTTTTAATATAATCCAAAAAGCAACAACTATACAAACCTACACGTTGTGTAACGTATATGCAAAAACGTGACAAAAAAAAACATCTAAATTATGCTTGGACAGTTGTCAATTCTTGGATTAGACGTGTTAAAGCCTGTATTGCAGGGTAAAAGTCCTTTTCAAGCGCAACAAAATCTTTACCAAGACGCATGTAGTCAAATCAACTTATTATTGTTGCTTACCGTAGCTAATTACTATTATAATATGAGCAGAAATATTTTGCTAGCGGTAAGTAGTTGTGATCTCATTTGCTAACACAAAAAAAATTTTTTTTAAAAAATATAGAGAAGCATAATATTGGTAAAATCTACTAACTTTTTAAGGAAAAAATTATACAGTTAGCAGAAGAATACATCAAATTAGAATTTTTTTCTTGGTCTGCATTTAAACCCACCCCTTCAGATAGCGGCGTTCTTGTAAGTGATATTTCAGCCAATAGGTAATTAGCTTCCCATCGCTTCTCTTACATTTTTAGTGAATCACTGTGCCATCATATCTTATTGCTTTTGTTAGTGTTTTTTAACTCTGCTTCGTCGTTTGAGACTCTTAATTGATAAATACTGATACTTAAACTTGTGAACCTTTGGCATATTTTGGTAACTTAGCTAGGCTTCTTACCATTTTTGAGCCAATGTCTTTTTGTTGTGTTGCATTGAGACTAGACCAACTTTACAATTTTCAGGGCATAAGATTACTTTTGTCGTTGTTTATAATTTAGCTTTCTTTTGTTTAATTTTTTCATGTTATATATTTATATATAATTGAGATGAAAGCTCAGACGCAGTTTATTATTATATATTCTGAGACCTTTACCGCGTGCTAATGATATCTATTGCAATAGTGTTTTTGGCTTCTAAGTCTCTTCATGAAGTGTAGCATTCCTCTTTTTATTAGAATGGGAGGTCTTTTCAGTCGTCATAGGTCCAGGGTTACTGAACAAGATAAAGCGATTCTTCAATTGAAACAGCAACGAGACGAACTGAAGCGTTATTCCCGAAGGACCAATGATGCGATTGCTAAAGATAATGCTGTAATCAAAGATCTCGTCGCACGCAATCAGAAACAGTAAGTGTTCTTGGAAATTCTCTATGCTGGTATATCTGCATACTACAAGTTGGGGATGTATGATGCCACAGAATTGATTTTTTAATAATTGTGTTATGTCTGTCCGTTTTCGATGTTTACGTGTTTGAACAATTTTGTTTTATTAATAAAGTTCCTATTTGTGTTCCTAGCTACAGCGGTCCCTTCTTGTAAATGCCAGACGTCTTTTTTATACGTAAACGCTTTGCATAAGCCCGAAGGCTTATCAAATATTCTTTCCATCCGTAGTTATAACTAAGATGTTAGTCTTAGATAATTATGCTATTTGGATATGTTTTAGTTTGTGTTGCTGACGTTTGGCTAACAGCAATATTTCGACCCAAATTAGCATAATCTTTTAATAATTGTGACGCATTATTACATTTTACCTCTCTAGACGCGCCCTCCTACTGCTTCGAAAGAAAAAATATCAGGAAAATTTGCTTGAGCAGTCTGAAAAGCATCTCACCACCGTCGAGGGTCTTATTAACGACATTGAATTTGCCCAGGTTCAGGTCGAAATTGTCGCCAGTCTAAAAAAGGGTAATGAAGCTTTAAAGCAACTTAATGCTCTCATGCGCATGGATGATGTCGAGAAAATACTCAGCGATGCACAGGAAGCTCAAGATTACCAGGCAGTAAGTTCGCTTTTCTAAAGTTTGCATATTATAATCGTCCTAGTTAATTACTGTGGACCTTATCCCTTTTTATAGGAATTAAGTGCACTGATTTCTGGCAATCTGTCATCTAGTGATGACGCAGAAGTTGAGTTGGAACTGGAAAGGCTACTGGCTGACAGCCATGCAGGCGATCTTCCAGCTGTTCCAGATCATGACATTCCCCCTCCCGTATCCTCTGCAAAGAAAACCAGAAGGACTGACGGTGTGTTTTTTTTTCTACCCTGCCAATTACTTGTTTATTGTGAAGTCCTTAAGCACAGCTACTTATTTGTTTACCGCACTTGTTTAGTTTTTAACCTGTCGATGTCATTGTAGGAAAATAACTGCATCTAGATGCATTTTTCTGTTGTTCTGTGTCCTTTAATGTATAACCATCTTATGAAATTCCAATTTACATTGATATTCCATTGTTTACGCGATATAACTTTCTATTTTTAAAATTCCACATGTTCTGCATATAAAATCCACACCTGTTAGCGTAAAAAACAGTTAACTGGTGTTCATTATCACCTACCGTAGCAGTTTGCCTCTTCAATTTCCTCTGCTAGACTTTCCAACATTTTCACTTGTTAATTGTAAATGCTTTTAGTACAATCTGGTCTTCGTTCTCCATTTTACTTTCTGGGTCCAACGCTTATTAAATAGTACTACTTTCCCAAACATGCTTGTATTTTGATGTGACTGTTAATTGAAGTAATTGGTTGTCACATTGATTATTAACAATCAAACAAAAATCATTTCGCCCTAACGCCAACTTAAATCTTTTCCGACCACCCATCCTCCTAGATCCTGGAAAGCGTGGTGTGAGCTCCAAGGGACGTGAGGCCGCTTTGTCAGCAGGATAATGTAGTTGTAAATGATTTTCCCTTAATCCGCTGTGATCTCCCCTTGCCTTCAACACCTACGAACGAGCAATAACAAGTATCCATAATAAACTATTTAGTATCATGGTCTTCTCTTATTGCTCCCGATATTGCCTGTCTGTTACTTTTCAACCATTTTTGTGAATTTTTACTATTAACTATGCTTCCCGATGCAGGTTTGCTTAACTGTTCGTGATGGGCTCTGTACCTCCAAAATGCATACATTGAACACCGACACTGGTGTTGTCAGTTTGCGCTTGACTGCACACCACCTTACTAATTGCTTGCAAGCGTAACGTATGGTCGCAATCCCCAATTATAAGACCGGATGCAGGAATTCAAACTATTGTTTTTGGGGTATGACTCTTGAAAAATAATTCTGCTATGTTCTAGTAAAGGGGTAATAATTCTAAGACATGAATTAGCGATGAAAACACCATCCAGATTCGCCGATTCGTAATTATGATAATGACTTCTTTGATGGCTGGTAGTATCATGGCATTATTCTAACTGCGTTCATCGTCAAGGCCGTTGAGGTAGTATTGGAAAATTTTGCACGTATATACTACGAATGGAGTTCTGTAGACTCTGACCAGGTAACGGTCCTGGAAGATGGCACAGACTCGGCAGTGGACGAGCTACAGCCAACCGTCCAAATTGCACTAAGTCTGCCTACTCTTCACCGGAACGTGGTAGGGTTTTTTCGCCAGTATTTTCCTTTGGTGTGCTTAACAATAGGTGGTACTTGGATGAGCTAGTTGTGTGTGGGTTGTTGGTGCCACTCGCTAGAGTCCTCGTAATAGGCCTCGAGAAAAATGGTTGAGAGCGTAGCGGCATGAACAATTGTCTGTGCTGACTCGATGCACTTCCACCATGGTCACTTGGCCAACACATTTGAGCGTGGCTAAAAGTTTGCCTAAGGGGTGGCTGTTGTGGAGTTAGGGTTGTTGAGGCGAGACACAAAGCCAGCCACCCTGAAGCAATGGAGGCTCGTTGATGTATCGGTCCGATATGGATGCCTGTGTGTGCGTAAGCAATGGCAAGTCTCAGATGCCAACTGAATGTGAACGTAAACAGATGATGAGAGCGGTTGTAGGATGGGAAGAGTTAAGACAACAGTTATGAATTGGTGGAAATCATTTTGGCATCGTCATTCGTGTAAACGTGAGCTCATGACGATGATTAGAGTCTTCTGTACGGACGAGATATTGGCTGTTGTGAGGTGGGTGTGTGGTTGTGGTTGCGCGAGGTGCTGACAACGGCATCAAGATTCACCTATTCGTCTTCCACCGGCATACTTAGGAGGTTAAAGTTGTTGCCTTGGAGCATGTCGACTATCGTGACTGGGAGATGAACAAGGCGAAGGCATCGTGTCTGAACGACTAGGATGCTTCTTTGTAAGCATGTTTTCAACGAGAATCGAATGCAAGCGCATAAGGGATTGGGTGTCGGCACTGGACAAGGTGGTGGGAGAATCTAGGAACGAAGTACCACCGAAGTCATTCAAGAAGGGCTTAGACTATTGACTCGTTCGTGATTGAATTTAGTGCGTGGCGAGGTCGCCAAGTTCGTACACAAGTCAGAAATTGTCCTTTTCTAGGAGTTATGGTTTTGACGTCGTGCTCAGTGACTAATCTGTAGTACCAGGCTTACAAACGAAAAAGACGTTGTAAAAAGTGTGCGATGTGTTTGTTTATCTTCATTTGCTAGTGGTTGTTGAATTGTAGGAAAGTTCATCATTTATAGACCACTGCGGCGGGCACACCTAATACGCCAATGCATTGTATTGTATTCACGAATGAAAACTGGGAAAGGGCTGTTTTGTTTAGTAAGATATGAGGATCGTAGACGTAAGCACTTTTCCCCGCAATGAATGCTTGACGTTTTGTGCGAAGCAATTTGGAATGTATTAATACATGCGATATTCAGAATATTTAACCAACTTAAATCCCCAAATGTTGCAACTGCCTGCTGCATTTTAGATGGATCGTTTCCGTTGGTGTTCATCTAGTGAAAGTCAGCCAGCTGATGATGAGACAGTGGTTATTCGTCAAGCAGGCGTCTGTCTTTATAATGGTCCTGGGAAAACAACTTTCGAAAACGGTGTTCTCACGTTGACTAGTCATCGGTTGATATGGCAACGGGATCATTCTGCCATGGCGCTACCACTTGTTGCCATTACAAGCACCTCTCTGCACCATTCCGGTGGTGGGAGCGCAACACCGAAGATCGTAGCAAAGCTCCTCTCGCCAGCCCAGTTGCTGTCTGCATTTAAGGCGATGCCCTACCGACCTGCCTGGTCGGCAGCCTGGGTCGTGGATCGAGGAGATACGCGAGTGGCGATGTCTGCGGGCCTGGATTTTGTTCGCTTTGGTTTCACTCAGGCAGGACATAACCAATTCTTTGTTGCCCTCAACGAGACATTAGAGGTGCGCCGTTGTACAAGTTTAACTTATGTCGACAGTTGCCTCTACTCACATTTTCATTAGTAGTGCCTCGGTATAATGTGCATCCCATATCCACAGCCTCTTGTACTCTAGAACAACTCTGCTTGTAGTTTTGCACTTTAGTTCTCATTTGCCTCCTTGAATAGCCGGGTTTCATGTCCCAATTGTGACCCGAATGTTGTTTGCCCTGCAACAACTTCACCGAGAGTATTCTTACAGGCGTACGTGTCTGTGTCTATAATTGCGTTCTGGATCAATTCATAGCGTCACCGCACTATGTCCTTGCTGCAATTGATTTATTGTTAGTTGGATATCCCCTTGACATTTATGCGTACGCATATTCCACCGGCTGTTTTGTCAAAGTGGACATCGGTAAAGTTTTAGACGTGCTGTTTTCGTTTAAGGCCAAAATGTGGATGGTTGCGCCAAAGTCTGTCGGTAGCGTCGGTGTGGCCGGTATCGAACGCTCCATGGTAGCTCAGACGGTCTCTGCTGACCGTAGCATCGCTGGTGCCTTTGCCGACCTCTCAAAGCTCATGGAACGTGCTGGCGAGATGGTTACTCTCTCGAAGCAACTCTCTCAGCGCATGCGGAACACCAAGGTAGTTTTTCACTCTTATCACTGTGGCTCCTCGTCTATCGCGAATTGGTCTGCTTGAATAATTAAAATTAACACAATTTTGTCGTACATTTTGCCCTCAATCAAAACGTTTCTGACTTGCTCGCAGCTTTTACGGCCATCAATTACGAACCCAGACACAAAAATGCAAGCGGTTATATTTTGGTCAGTTCGGTCTGATTGTACCAGTACTGTTTAATAGCGCGTAATTAATTATCCCTAGTAGTCACAATGCCGTGGATAGATGTCGTGAGCTGTTTACTGTCTTATTGACTTACGCACTCCTAGTGAAAGTTTCTTGCATTCTAAAACTCGTCAACGATGTTGCCTTTCTTGTATTCTCCCATTTCAACTATTTCCGCGCCTGAGTTCTTTCGTCACGTTATTTTGGCTGTCTTTTCTCTGATCTCTTATCTTCAATTACCTCGCGGCCCTTTTAGATTAGTCTGACACAAACGTCTCTACACGACGACCACAAGTGGTACCTCAGGGAAGAGACATTTTGCAAATCTCTTTCTTGACCGACCTTCTATTCAATCTACTTTACATGTGTTGTCTAATTTGGCTGTCCAGCACACCACATTTTATGCCGCTTTTTATTAGAATAAGTGGAATTGTAGGTATCTCGGTGATGTACTAGTGTGTTTGGGTTTTCGAAAACTGCAGTTTATCATATTACATTAATGTGGTTTGAATTCCTAGTTTGTATGGTGAACCTATTCCTATTAGCGCACACGAAATATCAATCTAGGCCTTAAGTAGCCTGCCTTCAGTGCACTTACGCTTTTGATTTGTTTATCCTTAGCGGCTTTCATCACGTGTGTGTTCAGGATGATAACTGAGCTTTTCGAGTAGAAAAGCAAGGGCATCTTGGCCTTCAACCACTGACTGATGCCTTCAGTTGTTTGAATTCAGTCACGTTGCGTTTGCGTCCTTTCCATTACTCAAACACGCGCATTGTTTGCTTGTGTTGCTTTGCCAGGCTGGCGGCAGCAGCGTGACCGAGGACGAGACGACGGAGCTGCGGATGGCCATGTTGAGCATGGGACTCCACGACGACGAGGCGGATGGGCAGGAGAGCAGCCACGAGGCCGTACCCTCAGCCTCGTCGTTTCACAGACAGCTGGCCTCCCAAGTGTGCCGGCTGCTGCTGCCACTGCTGGAACAGCGTACTGCCGGGGTATCTGGGGGCTGCATCGACCTCACAACTGCCTATTGTCGTGTTAACCGAGCCAGAGGTGTCCAACTCATTGCTCCGGAAGATCTCCTCGAAGCTGCCCATCTCATGCCCAAACTTAAATTGCCGCTTCGCCTCAAGACGTTCCCCTCGGGCTTAAAAGCGAGTCTTTTCCCTTTCAAATGTTTTATTTTTTGTGTTAAAACAGTTGTTGACACTTCAGGCGTCAATTCTCAAACGTCCTTCACCTAGTGGGTGCTGCACGCCATTTAGTCGAAATAAAAATCGACTTGTCAGATTCGCACGGAAATCGAACAATGAGGTGGCTTGATATTTCCCTTATCGGATCTCAACCCCAATAAAACTACGTAGATAGAATATGTCAGACTAGTTTGGAAGCCCTTACTGACTTTTACTCCGTTAAGTGGGTCCTCAGTGTTTCTGCGGCGAATTTGCCGTGAGCCGGAACACAGTCGCAGTGCCATTTTTCAAATCAAAATTGACATGTCAAATGTTTTCTGCCAGTTACCTCCATTCTGTGTGATTTAATGACAATCTGCCTCCAAAAGACTACTGAATTTTTTAAAAACAACTTTTTTTCGGTTCAAATTGTGCCCTGAAAACACTTTCACCAAAGCACTGTCACTAGACGAAATTAAGTCATGTCTTGTGTGGACAAGGTGTTATGCCAAGGTGATATGCATAAGGCAGCCACCAAGTCATCGAATGAGTTGTGAATGTGCGCTTGTAAAATTGTAATGTTGCTGCCATTTTACTTGCTGCAATGTAGGTTCTTCAACTTGCTAGCGAGTCAGAAGAGGCTACATTGGAGGCTACGTGTAAGCTTGTGCCCTCTGACGGGAGTCGTGGTTTGACCGCGGGCGAGTTGGCGCGTCGCGCGGGCATCGCACCGGTGCTGGCGCGAGAACGCCTCCTCCTCTGCGAACAGCGTGGGATGCTGTGTCGCGATGACACGGAGCGCGGTGTCTCCTTCCACGCAAACCTCTTTCTCCACCCACCCCAGAAAACGTAAAACTGCGTCTGTCTACCTACTTTTTGGCGACTCATGGCCCTAATATTTAGTGTTATTTATTCTCTTCGCTCTACCGTACTTTTTGTCGGTTTATCGTTTGACTATGTCATGTTTAATCAAAACAACAACCTGTGGGTTTTTGATGTTGATACTGGAGTAGGATAACTTTAAATTGAAATCACTTTGATGTACCTGTTTGGGCAGAAGTTCAGTTGTGCATCGATAAAAAAACGCTCGAAGTTGATCTTCAATTGTGAACTTTTGATCATTTCAATAAATAATTTTGAGAAAGTCGTGGGAATCGCGATGTACTAGGAGATTTGCGAAGGTAAACGCTGTAGGTAAAGTGAAAAACCATCCAAAATTGGTCCAACAAATTTTGTTGTCGCAGTGGAAAATCCGATTAGGAACGGTGGTCTCGATATAAAGGTCTCTAACCAGAGGCGTCAAATATCACAGGCTTCGGTTACGGAGCCTGGGGCAAATATGTGAAGTGGCAGCTTGGATGTATTATACAAGTGTGAGTATGAAGCAGAAGTGCACACAAGAATGCATTGTGGGCGTATATAATTCTCAAGACCAATTAGTTTACGTTGCACCTAGCTACATCGGTAAAATCTATATGTAGCTATAATTGCCTTGATTCCATGTATCTAGTTGCTAGTCGACCCTCTCTCTCGTATTGTTCCAACTGCGTTCATCGTCAAGGCCGTTGAGGTGGTATTGGAAAAGTTTGACCCCTGCAGGTATGTACTATGAATGGATTTCTGTAGACTCAGATGAGGCAACGGTCCTGGGAGATATCACAGACTCTACAGCGGATGAACTACAACCAACCACCCAAGTTGCAGTATGTGTAGGGGATCCTCAATGCCCCACGGTTGCTCATCGTTGGTTTTCAGCACTATTCGTACTAATTCCCTGACATGTGTTTTATTACGCTTTTTTTAAGGTTAAGGTCTGCCTTAGATTGGTTGCACTTTTGACAACTCGCACGTGGCTGACGTGATTAAAGTCCTCTGCACGAGCTCTGGTCTTGTCCTTGCAGTAGCGTGGGAAGGTCGATTCTAGCGTCAACAAGGGATCCGGTACCGTTATCTGAGTGTATTTCTCTTGGTTACGAGCAAACGGAAATTTTGGCGACGCAGGTGAGATGAGTGACAAAGGGATGGAACAATTACTCGAGCGGATAGTGTCAATGCTTGCAGATCGCCAGTCGTCTTACGCCGCCGCGCCAGTACACCGTCAATTGATGGCCTCACCAACTGTACCTAGGAGTTATCCTATGATTCGGAGAATGGCGTTACGTTCGAGTTTTGGTTTCGGCGTTACGAAGACCTGTTCCGAGTCGATCTCGCGTCCCAGGACGATACATGGAAGGTCAGACTCCTTACCCATAAATTGGGCCCAGCTGAACTGAAGAGATACATAGACACGATCCTCCCCAAGTCCACGCTCGATTTCACTTTTGGAGAAATCGTTCAAAAATCTCAAGCAGATGTTTAAAGAACGCACCTCCTTGTTCAGTATCCAGTACCAATGCCTCAAACTCGCCATAGGAGAGTTTGACGACTTCCTTAACTATCTAGCGGTGGTCAATCGAGAGTGCAAGAAACGTCAGTCCAAATCAGTGACTGAAGACAAGCTCAAAACACTCGTTCTCATATGTAGCCTTCGAATACCTAAGTATACGGATCTGCAAACGCGGCTGCTACACCTGATCGATTAAAATTCCTCTTTGATGATGGACGATATCTGCGATGAACACCTACACTGAAACATCATCCTACGTGACTCCAGAATGGTCCAAGCTGGCAGCTGCAGTGCTACAAACGTTAATGCTGTTCAATATACCAAAAACCACCTTACACTTCTATTCCTATCAGATTTCGTCACCCAAAATCGAACGGAGAATCAGCAGACACAAGTCCACGAAGGAGAACTTGGGACACTCATCCTTCCGCGTGTTGGCACGGTGGAGCTTGGCACTATGTAAAGTTGTGACCATACAAGCAGCACCAATGCCAGCAATGTAAAGCTGAGGGTCAGGAGAACACATTCTGCCAATCGTACCCGCCTAACAGGAGTGGTCGACTAATGATTTTGTTAAATTGATCTGGGATAAATGATAAGATGATATATTCCTTGTGTCAGAAAATGCTTTAAGTACACAGAACTGTAAAATTAAATTAACACAGATTTGCAGATTTGAGGATTTGGGAGAGTTTTCATTTTAATGAAGTAAACGCTTATTTAGTCACAACACAAATCTAAAAAAAGTTTTGTTGTAATTTTATAAAATCAGCATTTGAATCATCACATTTTTGTATTGATTGTGAAGGCATTTGACTGCGACTATCTGATTGATTTAACATGTTTAGTAAATAACTTGTGTCATTGTTTGCTTGTGTTGTTATGATTACCGTAATGTCAAATGAAAATATATGCCACTTTAAACAATAATTTATCATTCAGGAATAAGAATTATCTTCGAAGCAAATGAAGCCAATAGCGGAAAATTCTAGGTATGATTCGTTTCTTAATAATTTTCGAACAAAAAACATGTTTTACATACACTTAATCACTAGGATATCTTTGTCTGACGACTATCCCTTCAATTACGCTTATAAAAAATCGGCCATAAAAGTAATCATTGAGTTTTCGAAACTCGGTATGAAAAACAATGGATTCGAAATACGTATTATTTAAAACTAATAGTATAAAGTAATTACTTTGATCTAATGGATAAGGATGTTAAAACACTTAACATTTAAGAAGTTGTTTATATAAATGTATAGCCTATCACTTATTTGAGTGTACAGTTCAAGGTCGTCTATTCGTAGCGATCTTCTTTTGATTATTTTTTTGATAAGTCATGCCTCGGGGTCGTCCTCGTAGAAATCGGAAGCTTGAAAATGTTACATTGCAAAACAATGGACCTGGAGATGATATTGTTGTCACAGAAGGCTCCGAAACTGAGGTAAACTTAGCCTCAGTATTTGTTATAAATCATCTACATTGATTTATTTAAAATCAAACTGGTATAATCGAAATTTGCGATTCACACGCCCATTGCTTTACATTGCATGAGGCGAATCAAGGATAGGTGGGTTTCTTCAAAAGCAGCAACTTATCGTGAATTTCTCAAGCTGGTTCCTCGAAAAGCTGTTAAAAAATGTATATCTATCCTCTGAGCTTGTTACTTGACTGGTATATTGAACAAAAAATCGTTTTTAGATAAAATAAGTAGTGTAATCTTCTTCAATAAATTTTCACGGTGTATAGTTTGTTTGCTCCTCACTTTGGGTATTCGCCTGTGAACCTTAAATTGGTTTTTAAATATCCGATTGCTTATATATTTAACGCCATTGTATTGCTTACCAGTCTCTTTACGCCTAAATGGCGTGGGTTTTAAAACTTTTGATTTATCCATCGTTTGTATATAATTTTTAAACATTTTTGGTCGTAAATGAAACCAAAATTGTTCTCACTGAATACTCTTTAGCTATTCCGTAGCTTAGTAGTTTAAAATCAAATTATAAATATATTCGAGCGATTTTGCTCCCTACTAGATGAAATAATTGTGCCTCAGACTCCTAGGTTGTTTTGATGTTTTGTCTTATAGATGTAATAAAAGTAAAATACGTAATTTTAATTGACCAGATTTATTTTCCTTTACGTTAGGTATATTTAAAATATAATCCTGTTTTGTTTGATGGCCCAGTAAGTGATCTCACGCTTCCATTTTACCGAGTAGGGCTAGTCTAATCTAAACATGGCCTTCATTTGCACGCTTTATGCATATGATGGCGAAACATTTGAAAGTAAATCGTCAATGCATTATTAGGCTCGAGCTGAAGAGGCATGTGATGCACCAGTAGACACACAAACTGCGGAAGAAGATGGAGAAGCCATCGATTCAGACACTGGGAATGATAGGCCGGCGAAAAAGAAACTGACAGAAGGCAAAATTGACGTTGATGAAGACTTGGAAAGTGATGACGTGGAGAGCGGTGATGAGGATGCAGTTGATGATGGGGAGGACATAGATATCTCTAATGGCATGGAAGCTTCTCGAAGCGGACAAGGAGTTGTTTTAAGTACACCTGCAGAAAAAGCTGCTGACACCTGCCGTCTTCCACCCAGGCGTCTCACGCCTGATGAGTACGCGTTATTTCCCTTTCTTGGCACTGCAAGTCTGCAATTACGGGAGGCATTTCTTGTTGCTAGGAACGCCGCAGTACGCTTCGATTCTATTTCTTTTTTGTGGATTTCAATATTCATTATACGCTAATCTAGGGTACAATACATACATTTTGTCAGGTCGTTACTCTGCCACTTTGAGCATTACAAAAGTAGAAGTCGTTAACACTTGAAATGCTCCACAAGCGTTTAATTAGTTTACAAGTATAGGTAAAAACGATGTCATCATGCGATTCAGTAAAGATACACACTATTTTGTCATTCTCACTATCAAAAAGGCTAACTAATTGGAGCAAGCCTTGTTTGTGGTGCTAGAAGTATTTCAGTTATTTAATCTTACATTGAGAACCTTCTCAGCGTTCACTAGTGGTATTTCTGGTTTCAGGCGTATACACTGTTTCTTCTACTCATCTCTCGAGTGCTCATACACTGTGTAGAAATATGTCGTCTAGTAACAATTAAACTGGTCATTTGGAAGTTCCCGTCTTTCTAACACAATGTTTTGAATTCGTCCGACTTAAGATGAAATATCGTCCTGAACAAGTCTATATTCTTGTCCGTCTTTACCATTGATCTAGTGTCTGTTGTGGACAGAGGACCCTACTGTTCAGGTAACTACAGATCGGTTAATGGGATATCTTGTCTCCTCAAGCGATGAACGAACCATTCGTCGTATGTACGAGGCTGGTTTGACCTCACAGTTGCCCGTCGATCATGACAAAGGATGTGGTTCCTTCCCACCCAACTGGAACCCTTGGGCAACTCCAGTTGCTCGCCAGAATCTCGAACGGTTGTCCTATTTGGTTGTCCTTTTCCTTGAGAGGTAAATTTTCCCCCCTTTCGAGTTGTGGTTTCAAACAGCGTATGTGCATCGTTGACATATTCTAATATCTTTGGCACATTCGATACAAATTACTGAAAGGCCATAATACCAATCATCTGAGGGAGGTTTCGGCCGTAAATCGTTCACCTTATCATAAAATCCTTCGATGTTTTCTGATTTTTTTCCTTTACTGCGCAAATCTTTCTAATTCTTCCAAATTCAGTGATTTAGTGTTTTGATCCCAGATGCATATGTTCATATGTTCGATAATCGACCTTACAACAAGTAGGTTTTTCTAAATAGCATTTTTGGTTTCTGCTTCATTTAGGTATCACTAGTGACAATAATGCACAAGTTCTCAAAGATATCTTCTCAATGCTATGCCAATAACTCAATCAATCAATGGCATGCAGCGTTTGCATTGGTGAATAATAACTGTAACTAATTTTTAATTGTCCTGCAGATTCGGCTTCATAAACTACGGTGCCTTTAAAGTCCTCACTGCGCCTTTGACTCAGGCCGTAAAGTCGATGGGCGGTGGGGACGGCGAATCGACGGAGAAAGGCGCATCGCGTCGGGTCGCTGGAGGCCGTAGCTCCGAGAAAGCCGGAACCACTAACGGAACAGTCCCAATCAAACTGATTGTTTGTGGCGCCGGTGCGGCAGGACTAATCGCCGCTCGGCAGTTGACCTACTTCGGCGCCATGGTTACCGTTCTCGAAGCCAGAGTAAGCTTTACTTGTTTAAAGAACCCCTTAATCTCCTACCGAGTCTCCATAGCTAACCAAGCACACTTGCTCTCTCCTTTTTGCTAACTTTAGTTGCAACTGTGACATTTTGAAAGAACTTGCATCGAAAATTATGCTTTCGAAACTGTCATTACTCACATCACTTTTAAATTTGCCATCATTTAATAATGCATTTTCTCCTGTTCATACCTAGGACCGGGTCGGAGGACGCATTTGGACTTACAAGAAAGCTGATCAATTTGCCGATCTTGGCGCCATGATTATTACCGGAATGAGTATGTTTTAATTCAAAAATCTGATATGTGCACTTCAAAGTTTTGCCTTATTATTTGCAACTTAAAGCGTCATAGTCGGACTGAAATATTTTGTGTCATAATTTCAGAAGGAGACTAAACTGCAGCAGCGAAAATAGTGTCAAAAAATTGTGGTTGATTAATGCTTAGCCTAGGTAGTCTCTGCTGTTCGGGAATAGCGTTCAGGGAGGTTACTGAAATGGTTACCAACGCCCAAACTTTGCGGCATCGTCCATCATCATAATTTCTAGCTTGTTAACTAAATTCTAACCACGGAAATATCTCGTCATTTCGGAGTACCAATTGCCTGATAACGTAATCTGTAATATGCCGTCACCGAGCTCCCATTGATTGTATATTTGAACAACTTATTTCATATGCTATGTATTTACCCATAATTTACGATCTTTCCTACCAAAATAACCCTCCTTGGCACTCATTCGTAGTTTATTATAGGCGATACAAAACCCCTTTTGAGTTTGTTGCGTCTAACAAGCTCTTTGTACCACATCTGTGTAGAAGACTTTGTAGCCGCTAGTTAGCGGAATTATGGGTGTGATCTCGCGTGGGGTGTTTGTATAGATTGCCGTTTATTTCCTTCGTTGATCGGTGTAACATGCTTCATGCTTGTATGTGCAGATGGGAATCCGTCAAGTACCCTAGCACAACAAGGCGGACTCGCATTGCAGCCAATTAGCCAGTGGTGTACCCTCTACGCACCGACAGGACGGCCGGTGTCGCGGGAGAAAGACGAACGAATGGAAGAGGAGTTTAATCGTCTTCTGGCCACCGCCGCTCACTTGGCCAACAACCAGGTGTCTTCCGACCCGAACGCGGCTAGTCTCTCACTTGGTGGTGTCATCGACGACCTCATTAGGTGTCAAATTTCCTCCTATCTGAGTTTGCGTAATATTGGTAGTCAGTTTCACTGCAGTTGAGTTCGTGAGCTTTTGGGGTTGTGTGCTTTGTACTAATTCGCACAGTCACATTTTACTGTATGTGGAAGCTGTGGATTTTCTCCATTACACCCGATTGTAGTCGCGATAGGTTGGCTAAAAAACCTCCGGCGTTTCAACCACTGGCCAAACTGCATTGATGCTTTTTGGGTCCAACGTGATTTCGACAAAAATAAAATAGGTAATTACCATTTCACAGTCAGAGGTGTTGTGTCACTTTAAAGTGGATTCTCTTCTCACAGTTTACTTCGCCGTAAGTATTCCCTCAAACCTGTACTTTTTAGGTACCAGGAAAACCATATTATTCCCTTGAAGACCACCCACAGGAAATTGGTGTCTGTTCTTCTGGAGAGAAAGGCAAAGACACTTAACGAGGTAGGAAAAACGTGACCTTTTTTCCGCTTTTGAGGGCAGTCAAACTTTGATCGTACTTTAAGATAACGCAGCCTAGTTTATCCATTCTTTGAAACGTCAGCATTGGTTTACAGTTCTTGTTGTGTGTCTATGCCAATGCCATTACTTGTGTACTGGGGTGTTTACTCACGTTCTTCTGCGGTTCTCCTGTTCAATAACACCAAGGACCACATCTTCAAATAGAAACTAACAAATGAACATAAATGCCGTTTTTTGGATATAGGTGAAATATCAATTTACTCAGTCATCTGTTCCTGTAAAACATCATTGTCTGTGACCCATTGATAGGTTGTTTGGCTTTGTTGTGATTGTTCTCAGGATGGTATGCTAACGGAATCCAGGCGAGTTTCAGTGGTCGACCACGTCTTTAACGCCTCTTTAATTTTGATCCGCCTCAAATACTTCTAACTTTAAACTGTCGGCTTGTTTTAGATGGCTGACGCACGTAAGGTAATAGAGCAGGCCTACAGTGCTTGGCAGGCCTGTTGTCTGAAGGTGGATAGCGGCAAACCGGAGGCTGTCGCTCCATCGCCACCACCACCGCAGCCTCCACAGTCGTCCGCGGGGAGGAAGAAGCGCAAACGCGCCTCGACGGAAAGCGGAGAGACGAGCACCACAGACGAAGCCACCACCGACGCCTCGGCTGGCTCCTCCCCGGCCTCCAAGAAGTGCTGTTCTGCCAGTGTCCAGAAGAGCAGTAAAAGCGCTGTGCCCTTGTGTGTTAAAGTTGATTAAATTCCCTAGAAAATAGTCCTGCAATTGTCACTAGTGTTCTTCGCTGTTTCACTTCAGGCCTCATCTAACCTCTTCGAGTCCTCAAGCCAAAGAAGTTAATGCAGATGCTGAGTTTGAAAAGAGGCGCTTACTGTCTGATCTGCACAGGGCGTGGAAGCTATTTGATCCGTTGCAATTTTCGTTGGCAAAGATTAATCGTCAATTGGAAATTCTGGCTGAAAATCCGCCTCGGTGTGTTTTCCTATCTTTTCTCAGTTAAACGACAGTATTAAAACAATTTGGCCTTCTCTGTGTCAATATTGCTAGTGATACCGTTAAAGTTGTTTGAACATGACTGTTGCAGAATTAACAAACCAAATAAACCCGTGTATTGTTGCCCCTTTACCGAAAGGAGTCTTCATCATTAGCGTTCTTAAATTGATTTTTTTAAAGTGCCACGTCCAGCATGAGATAGGAATGCGTATTCTTCTGTTTCTTGAGTGGCTTGATGCACTTAAAGACCCGTTTCTCATCCACCTACAGTTAACAATGCTTGGGTGATGTTCACTGGGAACCTTTTGGCGGTGGTCCAATCATCGGTCGAGAGCAGAGTTACATCATTTTGGGCCGCCGCAAACCATGTTTTCTGTTTCATGATCTAGTGCCCATGAAAGACCCCGTGCACTTTGCCATCTATGCTGCCAGTTCCGTAGGTTTGGGAACTGCCGTGTGTACCTTATTAAACCACCTGAATAAACCCAAACCCATCGAATAAATGTCATTGGATTCGCCTAGTCGCTAATTGCATTACCAATTACGACCTTTTTTAAGCGACGTTTACCTGACTCCCTCCGAACGGAACTTGGTGGACTGGCATTTGGCCAATTTAGAATTTGCCAATGCAACGGAACTCAAGAACCTTTCCCTTCTTCACTGGGACCAGGACGACGCGTTTGAGCTGGGCGGACCCCACTGCACGGTGCGGGGTGGATTTGGCCAGCTGCTTGACGTGTTGACAGGCAACAACACATCTAACCTTGGCGGCGATCGATTGCCTCTTAAGGCCGGTGCTGAAACTTTCTCCTTGGGTAACACGTGTGGGCAACTCGAGCTGCGATCGTCGGTTAAAGCAATTAATGTCATCGACACGGGTAAGTCCGTGCGTAAGCATGAACGTGGTGTATCTACCTACCTACTGATTTTTGGTATCATCGATGTTGTGATTCGCTTGTTTGACGCAGGTGTGACGGTGGAAAGTTTGAACACGGCCTTTAGCGAAGACGAAGTTATCAGCTACTCCGCAGATGCGGTTCTCTGTACCCTTCCACTTGGCGTTCTCAAAAAATCCGTTTCAGCGTCGGCTCAGGAAAACGATAAAGGCCAGACAGATTTGGCATCGGTCACCGCCCCGCTTTTCCGGCCGCCCCTCCCTCAATGGAAGGTTGGCGCCATTGAACGTCTTGGCTTTGGAATTCTTAACAAGGTTTGTGGCTTCACTTTTTCTCTGTTGATACCTATCTTCTTATCTCTGTAATGTTTTTGATTTTTCTAAAGACATTATTTCCTTATGCTTCTGTTAGGTCAGTTCTTAATGTTTGTTTTATTAATGTTGTCCATTTTTTCGAATCTGCCTGACTTATGCTCTCTTCCCAGGTGGTTCTCTTTTTCGACCGCTTCTTCTGGGACCGTTCTCAGCGCTTTTTTGGCTGCGTCCACGATTCCACGGAGCGCAGGGGTGAGTTGTTCCTCTTCTGGTCGATCACGGATAAGCCCTGTTTGATCGCCCTGGTAGCGGGCAAGGCGGCTATCACTCTTGAGGAGGAACTATCAGCGAAAGAGGAGCGTTCCGATCTGAAAGATGACAGTAGCTTCCTTAAATTACCCATCGTCAGCCGCGCAATGACCATTCTGCGTAAAATTTTCGGGAGAGACTCGTCTACCCCGATTCCTGATGTAAGTTTGAGGTGTATGCTCTCGTTGGAGTTTCCTCGGCTCCAAACTCAAATTTGAAGTTAATATTGACTTAGTCTATCTTTTCATGCATTTTGACCACAAACAAGCGTGCAGTCATTCCTATCACCTTGTTGTAATCCTTAGAAGTCATAATTTGCTGCACCTCAAACACGACAAATTGCATTATCTTTGCCGCCTGTTTAGCCCCTCGATGCCTACGTGACTCGCTGGAGTGCTGACATAAATAGTCGGGGGTCGTACTCCTACGTGGCAGTGGGTGCAACCGGCGACGACTACGACCTTCTAGCTGCTCCGCTGCAGCCTCATCCACCTGCCCCCGTGTATATAACCCCCGAGGGCGACGTGCCTTGCACCACCGTCCCCACCGATGCCACACATCCTCCCGATGGTGGTGTGCCTCGGGTCTTCTTTGCAGGCGAACACACGTGTCGGTACTATCCCGCCTCTGTTCATGGAGCCATGTTCTCGGGGTTGAGGGAAGTTGCTCGCATCGCTAATACCTTCTTTCCAGGTGAAACCCCCGTGCGAAATCATGGTTTCACGTTGGATGTCCCGCATGTCACCCTTGTTGAATAAAGACCAAGCTCATCCTAAGACCATTTCGTTGTGTTTTTTTACTGAATGTGCTTGTGTCTCCTTGTCTTCAAATCATTTATACCCCTTCAAATTCTGCTACTTTTATTATTTGAGGAAATTTACGATGAAATGGACTCGTGTAATGCCATTAGATTATGAGAAGGTTGTTGATTAGGACAAATATTGCTCTCGAGTTCTCCCATCATCATCGCAACAGCTTTGATCTACTAAATTTGGTGTGTTATTGTATGGATCCGGAAGTGAGTTGTCCGTGTGCGTGTGCCAGCTATCATAAGGTGTGTCAAATTAATCTTTGGGATGTCAACGGAATGTCACCTCGACTGGCTAAAACATGAAAAAAACTGTGTTGTGTACTCTGGTTGGAAGATACCGAAAGAACTGGCGGATCTAGTATTAGGCCGTTCGTGCTAGCGTGGACCGCGGTAGGTTATGCATAATAGCACATTTCCTTCATCAACGTTCCCTCTGACAACACCATTATCTGCTTTTCCAACACAGAAATTTTGGGTCGTTGCTATGTAGGTGATGAGTTGACAAATGCGTGATTTCTATGAGTAATTCAGTACGCCCTTAGACACTTGTGTTATTCGATCTTCTGAAGCTCTCTCTGCATATGATACTCTTCTGAAGACTTACGGACAAGATTTTCCCGATCCAAGTCACCTTGCGGTGTCGAGGTCTTTACTATCCATGTGGCACGTTGAAGATCAGCTTCAGCCAACCAATCGTCTAATAGTTGGGATATTTTAGACACCTATGTGCAGTGGGCTTTCATCGTCATTTGCATCTCTCAGCCACCTAGTTTGTAGAATGGATGATTGCTTTATTTCGAAAAATCTCCTCGAGTCGTTTTCCTTTTCAATCCTACCCAACAAACTGATGCCTTTTATACTTTCTTGAGCTCATTGGACTGAATATTGCATAAAAGGCATCAATCATCAGAAAACCAATGACCTTTGGTCCCTGGCCCCCCATGTCGTCTTACTATAGCTAAAGAGGTACTTCTGAATTGTCTGAATGGTGTCGCCACAAAACTAAACTGTCGCTAGGTATTATCCAACTGACTATTAATAACGTTAGAGATCATTCCCGCTCAAAACCATGTTTCTCAAGATACTCCCCTTGTCATTTGTATTGATTCACACAATTTTTTTAAATCCAAATCGGGCTTCCTCTTCTCACCCACCATTTCAAATTTGAGCGTACCATAGCTCGGAAATGCGCTTATGTCGCCCACGGCACATGTGAGCGCATCTGAACGCATGCTCTGCAGCTGGGTCGCGGTGACTCATCTCAATTTTCTTCTGTACATCTGAGGTGGAAGTCGTTAACAATGTAAACAAGGCGTTAGAAATTTTCTTGATGGCCATCTGTAACAGATAACAAGCAGGCCATCTGTGGTCTTGTAAGGTGAAGTAAACTCTGAAATGTTCTGAGGAATTCTTATGCAGAGTGAAAATGATGCATTTTTTTACTTTCATTTGAAAGCTGGCCACGAAACCTTTATTGACATGTTCTGGACCACAGTTACTGGCCTCCAAGTCAAGCTTCTGGGGCGTGCGGTAACCAATGTAGACAGATAATGCAGTCGCTGTTATGGTATGTTAGAAGGAAATCGTCGGTGCCTTCAAAAGGCCGCTATTTAATATTTTTTCATGCTAGACTTCATTGCAAAAGTGTGGGGTAATGTTAACTACGGAACTTTACAGTGATAAACGCTAGGGTTTAGGACGAACCAATAGTTACTGGTAATAGGGCGAATCTCCAAATAATGTCAAAATAATTTGGACCTTGATCTTTTCGTCTTGTTTCTGGAAAGTAATCGCATTGGCGAAACAAAAAGTCAATTTGAACAACAATATTAGATTTCATTTCAAGCAATTTTCTGCGATGACCTGCTTGCTTGATTCAAAAGTCAGCAGCTAAATCACAAACCAAAAGCAGATGGGTGAAACACCTTTTCCTCAAATCTTGATAGAACATTGAGCATTGTCAGTCAATAGGGCCTAAATTTACCAAATTTAACAGCATTTTAATGAACATCAAAAGATTATCACACAAATTCTCACAAAAATTAAGTCATACAGTCTCCATGGCAGATCCCCTTTCAGCTATATATTTTGCTGGACCACCGAGTAATCCGTCAGAAAAGGCATTATCTAGTGTAGAATACCCGAGCCATAGTACGAAGAAGACTTACAATAGAACAGGCTTTATTGACCAATCACAAACCAGAATCACACGTATGGCGCCGTCCATCCGAGTCCACTACGCCTCATTATATTGTAGCGTGCTTGGGCATGATCAGAAGGCGTATGGACGAATAGAAATTTATTGGTACAAAAATATCAACGTGGGTCTCCGGTATCGGGGGTAAAACGTCATTGTTTACATGGGGTTCTTATATACTCGGTCCAGGTTGTCCCTGTTCGCTCATTGGCTCCGGCTTGGATTCTAGAAATAGAAAGACAATCTCGTGAGGGGATTGGCTACTCGGGCTTTGGGGCTCCATTTGAAACTTAAATGGTCCTCGCAACCGGAAGTCACGTGATGCTGCCCCCACGGCGCGCCACTGGCTCTCGACCAACGGCTAGATGTCAAGAAGGCGTCTTTCTGCCCGCACGCTACAATATACTGCATCGTGTTTATGTCTTTCTCTGGTTGGCAGCCTATCTTCCTCGCATGCCATTGGATCGCAGAGAGGCAGAGGATTGATTGAGACCAGCGTGGTCCACTATGTCTGCGCCCTTACACGTCACCACACTAAAGTACGTCAATGTACGAACACGATTGTAGCATTTATTTTAAGTGCATTAGATTTTCAGCTCATTAAATTTTGCCGAGTAATCCATTATTTATTGCAAATATCCTTGGCAATTAGGCTCAACCCTAAATGTTTGAGTATTCTATTCACACAATGTCATATGAGTCGAGGCAGTTTAAAGGATATTGTGTAGTGTAGAATACCCGAGCCCTAGTGTGAAAAAGACTGGTACAACAGAACAGGCTTCTTTGACCAATCACAAGCCAGAACCACACGTTAGGCACCGTCTTTCCGAGTACCCCACGCTGGCTATGCCACTTACCAAAAGCGACCTCTTAAACGTCTCTGTCTCTGATTGGCCGCCTATGTTCCTCGCATGCAATTGGAACGCAGAGAAACAGAGGATTAGCTGAGGCCAGCGTGGTTCAATACGTCTCTAAAGTGCCTTCCTGTAAGTCAACAAGAGCGCAGCCCCTCGTCTATTATTCGCTTGCGTCACTTTACGGAGACATGTGGGATATCGGGGAGCGTCGAATTGGAAATTTTTTCAATCATCAATAGTTCGGAGGACCAAGCCAGAAACTGAGGGCAGCTTCCCTTCTGAGACGGAGTATGAGGGAGCCAACATATTGGACCACGCTGGCCACAGCCAATCCACTGTCTCTCTGCGTTCTAATTGATGCGAGGAAAATAGGTAGCCAACCAGACACAAACACGTTTGAGAAGTCGTATATAATGAGTGGCGTAGCCAGCGTGGTGGACTAGGATGGAAGGCGCCTGACGTGTGGTTGAGGCCTGCGATTGGTCAATGGAGACTGCTGTTTTTTCAGTCTTCCTCACACTAGGCCTCGGGTATTCTACATATGTACATGACAACAGTGCCGACAAGGTGCACAAAAACCACTGCGCCAAAAAATCGCCGGTTTCTTGTGTTTAAGAAAATTATGCACTGCAGATAGCAAAACTAAATGTAACTTAATCAAAACGCTATCTTTCAAAGATAAGAGGGTGAAAATCAGACGTCTTCACAAAAGAACACAAGACCACATCGAATCTGCATTTCCACAACTTAATCATTCGTGAGTTTAAGGTAGAAGCAAACGGCTAAAATACACTTAATAACCCAGTGATACAAGAACAGTTTTAATAAATCCATTAATAAATGGAAGTTCAAATAGATTAAAGTATAAAATCAACCACGCAATTACTCTGATCAGAGAAGCCTAATGCCGGTTAGAATGGTTAAATGTAAGCACTCTCTTTAAATTAGCTTGCTTTTACTAAAAATCCGTAAAACGTTTGCTAGAAAAGTAATAGCATTTTTAAAGAAAACAGCATCTTACGAGCAATTTGCCTCTGTTGATGTATTGTACTAATTATCCATTGTGTTGAAACTTGTTTAATGTGCACCGATTTGATTTAAAATTAATTAAAATTCACCTGCGAAAATTAGATTCAATTTAGCAAAAAATGAGGCTCGTGAAGTTAGACGGAAGTTCTTAAATCCTACTAAGTATTCTCGGCTTTTAAACATTTATAATATTTTGAGACTTCCTGAGTCTTTTTAATTTACACTCCCATTCATTTCGCTGATCATAACCATCAGAATCGAATTCATACAATATATATTGTGCAAGTCCACCATTTGAGATGAAAAATGTCTCAACTTTTAATTGTTTGCTATAACCCTGCTTCCACAGGTCCCGCCATTTTCGAGTGCGAGGTTAGCGTGTTTAGGGCGCTTCTTTCATTCGTTCACAAATGCCTAAGGTGGTATCGCGAAATCGTAAACTTGATCTGTTACTTAGTGCAAAATATTGCCGTCAGGTGGGGTACTTTGAGACCCATACGGTCATTCATTTATTTATGTCACGATTTATTACCATTGAGTACATTGCATGCTCATCTTGCCCCACTTTCACTGTCGTTAGGACTACCTTTAATGGTCGGAAAAGTCTTATATTTCGTGTGCACGATGTTTCGAAGCGTTTTGGCGTGTTTCGCCGCTGCTTTTTAACTGAGCCACGTATTCCACTATGGTGCTAAATACCACTTCTTTACTTAGTTAAATCGAATGGATTTTATAATTTAGCGGCATTTTGGTATTTGAATATCAGAAACCCCAAACTCTCGGTTTTTTGGAATGTCCGTCGTTTGAAATTCGGACTTTTGTTTTAAGGAAGGAACGCCTTAGTGGTTGGCAAATTGTGACTTAAGTTCCGGGATTCGTTGTTGTGTTTTGAGCTGGTGTCCGCGTGTCCTTCACGAAATACTTAGTTTTTTGTCGATAACGATTGAGATTTATATTTGCAAACTTTTTTGTGGCCACCTGGTACTCCTTGATATCTTATCTATGGTGTGCTTATTTTTGACATGAATGATAGAATTAATGGTTTTTTTAATCTTTAGTTAGTGGCGTGTTCATTCGACGAGGCTTTGCTACAGCAACCACCTGGCTTTGTCGCTGCTGTTTCTGGACGCATAAACTATACAAATCCAATCAATGGAAAATCCACCAATGTCCATTTACCAGATTGGGTAGCGAATCCTCCTCCTTCCATCCGCCCGGTTGCACCGAATGTTCGCGGCCCCGATGGTCCAGTTCCTTTGCCACTTTCCGTTTCTTGGCAACGGTATTCGCCTTGTAATTTTTCCGGTACGACTTGAATCACCTATAATTATGCTTGTACTTAAAATTAATGCAGCAATTCGGTTGTCGTCTTAGGCGTTTTGGGCATTCTGTATGCTTATTTAATTTTCATAATTTGTTCTCTTATACAAGGGCTGTGCATAAAATCACAAGACCCATGTTTTCTTTATATTAGAGGAATCAGTTCACCTCGCCCCCAGTGAAGAGCCTGATGTCCTGGTAATTGTTTTGCAGAACCAAGTAAAGTCCCTTCTTTCGGTAAGCTTTAGAAAAGTTATTGTCCAATCTTTTGGGCTCTTTTTGTCGAATGTATGTTGTTTTTAGAAAGAATCTGAACTGCAGTCGTTCATTTCAAGCATTTCTTCTCTTCCCCGTCGACGACAAGTATCTGTTGTGCTTTTCGTCCCAAAGTAATGTATATTTCTTGAAATAAAGTGTTCTTATAGATCAATTAAAATAGCAGGCACTGTGCGAGTTCGCATGATTAAAAAATTTAAGCTGTCGATGGCTTCCTGTAATCAGCAGACGTTGTGAGAATAAATGTATTGCACTTTTTTCTTCAGCCATACTAATTTTCGTAGTCCCTTTTGTTTGTTTCCATTACACAATATCATTCTAATATGTACACGTTCAAAAACTGTCTCAATAAGGTTTTAAGATTTTGTTTATTTTAAGAGGCTCTGGAAGATCTTTGAATTATGAAGCCCGTAGAATTGGCCGTTATATTTTATCACATTTTTGTCTTATTAGGTGTTCTTCAGCTAATGTGCCAGCTCTCTATGATCTCGTGATACGGCTGCAGTTCGAGGCCAAATTAACGGGAGTGCAACAAGTGTCAAATGTCCAAAACCTTGCTAATCTTGTCGCAAATTATACTAAGTCCGTCTGTCAGCGACCCTTCAAGTGAGTTTCGATCTATCATGACCACGCCTACTTTGTTTTGCGCTATACCCTTTTTGATGGGTAATTTTTACCTAGGGAGCTTCGGACGGACGCGCGGAACGGCTTTTCTTTTCTTCCATCTACGGTAGTCACCCCGGGAGCGGGGGCACCCACTAGGTTTCCAAAACTCTTATCCACTGCCACGCTGCAGGAAACAGAAGCCATTCGTTCTTGGGTTAGCCGCACCTGGTTGCGGCAGCTCAGCACTTGGCGCGGGCTGACTGGTGAGATCACAAATGCAGTCGCCTCGGCCTACCCTACACCGCGCGCACTTTACGAGGCGCTCAATCAGGATGGTAAGCTATAGCATTGATGTCGGACGGGGTAAATTTCTATTTGTTTTTCAAGTGCATAGTTTTGGTTTTTAGACTAGATGGCCAGTTTTGTGGCTAATCGCCCATGATTTCGTCATGGTATACAGTCTAACTTCTATTTGTGGTATTCATTAATTTGCGTCTTTTTGAAGCATATTTCTGCTTATACATTTTGTTGCAATATTTTTTTACTTACTAGTTCCCTTCGTTTGCTTTTATCTAGTCATTCCTTCCAATACTTCTGCCTTCCATTCTAGATACCCATTATTTCATTAAATTTGATGTTATATACATCAAACCTTGGCTACTTTCCAATTTTTCGCTTTCACAACTATCGATTCCACTGTTTATCACCGACGATTTCGTTTTGTTTGCAGGCCCCTCAAGTTTAGCCAATTTGCCTGTCCGTCGTGGGGCTGGGGTTTTGACTACGGAGACTCGACTCGGCCCTCTTCTTGCTTCGCGCATCGCTACGTTTTTCACCTCCTCTGACCCTGAAGACTTAGGGGCTTCCTGATCACAGAATAGTGCTTACCCAACCTATCATCAAGGATTCCTTACTGCAATATCTCACTTTGTGAATATTCATTTTGTACTCAACTTAATGTATGCTCATGTTCGATTGCTACTTTTCAATAAGACCATTTCTGCGTTGTTGATGTTCGCCTCTGCTCGGTATTGATTCGATTGTGGCGCCTCGAAAGTGTTTTGCGTTGGAAGTTTTCGTGACTTTGTGGGACAGGAACTCTGAAACATGGATACCACCGCTGTCGTTTTCAATTCGATGGTGCCCATTTCAAAGATTGTAACAAGCCACATTTACTCGAGTTTACTACGCAAATGCCAAATCAAAAACGTGCCATAGTTACACTGCGATTATTGTGGTATTAATCTGAGGAGAGCTCGAGCATTTGTGCTGATAAATTCTATGCCTTGAGGTTTCGAACCTGTGCTGTTGTCCTAATGTCAAAGCTACTAGATTTAAGATTACATGAAGCCTCGGAATAGAAGTTTTTGACTACTTTTAATTTAGCACAATTGAATCATTTCTGCGTTTTCATAACTATTAACGCCTACAAGAGGCGTTGTATTTCCAAACGGGTCGCCAGGCGGGTCGCAATAATTTCCTTGGTGCTAACTTTTCGAATGCCGACTGTGTTGGCGGGATTGCTGAAGCGGAACCAAGGAAAGTTTGGATTACGGGTGAAAGCACCGCAACACTGACGGGGGTATCCACCGGAGTCTTTCCCGGTCGTCATAATGCAATTTTGGCAGGCAGTTTTTTAGCTTCGCTAAGCATTTCAAGAAAGTGCCAGTGGTAGACATGATGCCAGGTGAAATAACGCTTAATTTCTAGGGGCATTTGAAAATTGTCTATTTAGCTACATTAAAAAGCATAGTTGACTTCCAAATGAATCAGCACACGAAATGATGAGGCTCGACAAGCCATGGACATGCTTCTACTTTGTGAAGAGCAGAATCTTGGGTGATGTGATTGCCATCATTCGTATTTCATCAAGAAATATAGACCAGACAAAAGCATGTGGAATTAGTACCCTCGAAAACCTGTGCCTTTTATTCCACAAATGACTATCTATCGGGGATCCAAGGAGACAAGACACAATGATTCTAGAATAATTGGGTTGCTGAAGCAAACGAAATCTTAAAGTTGGTGAGACTTTGAGAAAACGATTTGAAATAAAGCTATATGTTTCATGTCTCAGACGATATCAAGCAAATAACATCCTCGTAACGATCGTACGTTTGAGTGAAAGTAAACAATGAAATAAGAGAGCGTAGTCACTTTTGCCAAACAACATATCTGTCACGGGACAAATAAAAGCGCACATTTATCACGTTTTATTGAAATAAAATGCTTTTATAAAAATGTAGGGAAATGCTGAAACTCTGGGTTCCCAGACACTCAGGTGGTCTGGTCAGGATTTTCTGTTGAGGTTGATGGGCCCAAATTAGCTCCGGCGCTGGCTCGCTTCGAAGCCTTCTTGGCGGCAGTAGCTCCTCGATAGTCTGAAAAAAAGTTTCTAAAGGCTATGCATTTGGCTCTGGCTGCCTTTTTGAGCGATCACAACCGGCGTCATCCAATGCAGAGACTGCAGATTCCACTTATGACTGATGATAATTATCCGGATAAAAAATCATGGCTTTACGTCGAAAACCAAAAATAAAAGTCTACTCGTGGGCTTAAATCAAAACTTCAGAAACAACTACATAGCTCGGGTATTATGCGCTCAAAACAAAACCAAATATTCAATTGCGAACACTCATTAAATAAGAACCTAAATCCTCACCTACAATAACAAAGTAATAAGAAATGTCCAAGCTTACGAATAACAAAGTTTAATTAGTATCACTGAGATACCAATAAATCATTTTATGACCCTAAATGGTTGAAGAGCATTTCCCACAAACTATGAGTGAGTAAACGCGAGTTTTCTCCGATCAACGTCGGAGCAAGGTCATACCAAGACACTCATAAACGCTTTACGTGGCAGGGCCATTCGCACAAGGCAAATTTGGAAATTAACTTACTTTCCAAGTACTCAAGAAGCGGCGATTCGAAGTGGCCAAACTGCATGTCACGAAGAGCACCAATGATGTCTGAGGCCGCGAGGGTCTTCCTTTTGCCAGCCTCGCAGTGAGCGCTGGCCATGGAGGTAACGCAGAGAATGAACGAACTCGCGGCTTTGCTTATGGCTGAACGTGCCTCGCGGGAGATGATTACACCGCCAGACCCCTGTGGCAACTACAATTGCAAAACTCTATCGCAATCACACTGCAGTTCTGGTCAAAATTAATTTCAGGGTAGGCCGTGTTAACGTTTAAGCCAATGGCGACACATTATTTGCAAAAATGAACGTAAAGTAGCTCCGACTGATTTGGTGACACCCATCAATATCGTTAAGCAAAAATGAACAATGTCTGATGTAATCCGATCAAAGATTAAAAACCAAGTGACCCACAACTATGACGTTTTTAATAGCATAAGTGGTGTGATGGGCTTCATGGAATGTAGTTAGCCAAGTCTTGGAATGCAAAATTGAAGTTGAAACAAAAAAGCGCTTTTAGGATACGGCAATGTAGGTAGAAATATCAATTAAGGGTTAATTATTAAATGAAAACTCACGGCTTCCCTAATGATTCGCATGATAACTGCATTAGGAAGGTACAGATCATCAGATTTATCTGACATGATAACGCTGAAAACACATAAATTGAAAATTACTCATATGCTAAAGGCAAAATTATGGGTCCCAAATATGAGTATAAGAAATTACTTTAGTCAGTAATTAAATGACCGCGAGACTTCTGCCGTAGTTTACAAGCCAAATGTTATAATGGGATAGGCTTGTACCCTGAAAGCAACATTGAGAAGGCAGGCCTCTTGATTAGAGGCCTTGCGTATCCTACAGGACGGTTGACGTGAAAAAGTAGCTGGGTCGACATTTACCTTAACCAGACTAAATTTTATCCGAGAGGAATCAGGACAGCCTAGTACCCTTAGAACTGGAGGAATAAATAATTTATTCAGCGATTGAATCACTCAAATATACTGAAGATATTTCAACATGGAATCAGAAATTTCATTCAGAATTTGCAGCCCCAACGGCCAGATTTTGGATGCATGGTGGAGACCTGACGTGACCGGCACAGAACCTCTTAATACCTTAATCTAATTGTCCTTAATATGTTAACTAGGTTTAAGGGCAAAGTAAAATCATGGTGGGGAAAGGGCGAGTTAATTAGCACAATTTCCGCAGTCGACCATAGCACACAAGGAAAACAACGGCTTTCAAAACAGCATTTATGAAAGAGCTAAACGCAACAGAGTCCCAGGTGGGAGTACGAGGGAGAAGGGTAGGAAGACAATCAGCTACGTCGGAAGAAGTAAAGGTAGGCGTGCTGGAACGGTGGCGACTCGCTGCGACAGACCTTCTCGTCGTTGTAAATCACCCACTCGTCGTCCGAGCCGATGCAAGGTGACGTTTCACAGGCGGGCACGACTCCCGGAATGCCCTGACCTAGGGCTGATCTCTTGATGTGACACACGTAGTGCCCGGCCTAGTAAAACGCAAACGCAAATAAGCGTTAAACCCAATAAAAGTAAATTGGCCTGCGTAAGTTGGGCTCTGACTCCCAGAAGGCCTTCAAGCGACAAATATCGCGATGATGCTGGTGGGTGTTTGCACACAAATTTTTAGCAATCAAAACAGGGAGCACGAAACGTGAGGCGCGCTTGTACAACGACGAGGGCTAGGTGCTGGCATGCTTGTGACAAAATCTACTCTTAACCAAACATGAGGAGCCTGGAATGATGTTCGACAGTGTCATTGAAATTTTACAAGAAATTCCGCCGCAGCATACTCCGTGAGGACACACAATTCGATACTGCAGCTAACCCTTGGATCAGTTATGCAGAGACAAAGGCAATTGTTAAAACAAGGCTAGAATTTCCAACATTGGTAATTACTACATTGATACCCTGAACGAATGGAAGGCAAATACTAACAGCCATCCAAGAAACACATGGGAATAGGTTCGCAAAATGTGTAATCAAGTAGCCTCAAAAAAGATCCCGCAGCACACCTAGCATGCTGAATCGGAACTCACAGCAGTTGATTCGCCCATGTGGCAGATGAAAGCAATCAACTCATAGCGGCTGGGGTCACCGTTAGAGATGCTATCCTTGGTTAACGCTGCTGCATTGCTTTGCTGCACCTGCTGGGCCGGTGGTGAGCTTGGAATGGCGGAAATCAGTTGGTCGGGGCTTGAAAAGGCCATGTTAATAGCCGCCTCCACATCGTTATTGCAGATTTGCAGTGCTCGAGTTGCCTACAGAAAAGATAGCGTGCACTCGGAATTTATGGTTCACGACGTTGATAATGATAGGAGGCCATTCTGTGGCAGATCGAAGACTGGGTTATCGACAGACAATGCATGCTAAAAGATGTAACTGCTGCGGATACGTTGTCGCAAATACACAATCCGTATTTAGAGACATGAGCAACTTATATGAGACAACATTACATATAGAGATCAAGGTTGTCACCGGACAATGAGGTAATTCTTAGCTCAACTTTAGCGATTATTTACATAAGCCTACCAAAACAAATTACAAAATTGAGTGGTGCATGTTGTTACGATCTTAAGGGAAAATCGAACTAAAAGCTTTAAGCTAAAGGCCAGAATGGAATGCTGGTGAATAGTTAAGTGAACGACCCTAGTCGCACTTCGCAAAAGTTTCCAACTATTATATCAATGTATTGCCCACGAATTGAGCTTCCACTCGGCAAGCTTAACAAAACCCATTAAACAAAATAACTCTTCATCGGTATTACGTCATAGGGTGGGTTCCACAACCACGTTTAGCAGGCCATGGAAGCTAGCACAGTGCTTTAACTCATAAATCACCACTTTACGATGAAAAGCCAATATCTCTGAATCAAATCTCCTCAAATAGGGCAAACACATGTACCGCAGTGGTCTCGCTGTCTAATCTCACACGCATTTGTTGATTGGTAAATCCGACTCACAATATCCGGAGCCAGACCCATTTCGAGCATCATGTTGAGAGAATCCTCATTTACGGTGACGCTGGCTGGCTCAGTTGAGGTGACGTTGATGGGATCATTAAGATCGGCGTCGTCAAGGTGCTCCATTAACCAATTGGAGGCTGCCTCCACGCTGGACGTGGCCAGACAGGCTCGGACGCAGGCGTTGCGCGAAAATCCCATCGTCATGAGTTGCTCCACAGCCTGTTCATCGAACTGTGCCTGTTGTTGAGGTTGGCGGCTGAGAGAGTCTATGGAACCAACAATAAGATCAAAATTTTTCCTACATCAAGGGAAAGTAAAGAAACTGTTGAGGCACATAGGAGACCAAACATAACCGCAGCTGGAGGGTTTCCCACTACAGCTTGAGTGCACACAACTTTCCTAAGTGTTGGTATGAGTTCACAGTAAATAAACACATTAACCGACTCGAAATCAGGAATAAATACAACGAAATTAAAATTCAGCAAACAAAAAAAAACAGTGCACGGCTAAATGCTGAACAAGATTATTACAGACGAAAGATTATTGGAAATACACCACTCACATCAATCGCACCGATAGACAACTCCACGACATCAATAACAAAAAACCATGAGTTGACAGGAAGGTAGTTACTTTCTGCGGAGTGAAATAGGGCCCAGATTCCCAGTACAAACAAGTTGCTTTTCTCTTCATTCATGGCGAATTCGTAATCTAGAAATTCTGGCCTAGTCCAATAAAAAATAGCCATGTGCCCTTCTCGGTCATCATCACTAGTGAGGATTCTTTTATTCAAAGATCTCTACACAACTTCAAGCGACACGGTTATTTGAGCATGCCAGGTCAGGGGGTGTGGCACCACTTTCCAATCAGACTTTCAATAACCATCTGCGTATTATTGGAAATGTTTGAGGTCTTGGATCGTCTTCGTGGAGCACAATTTTTTTTCCTAGTTGGCTCATTCCGATTGCTTATTTTTAACTGTCTTAATTCAGTTTCACTGGCTCGCACTGGCAAACGCCGAGGTTGATTGTTTTACCCATTGGAAACACCTCAAAACACCCAAAACCTTAATGTTCTCACCAAAATGACGGCATGAATTTAGTGGACGTACTTTAGCTCTCGGTAGGGTTAACCACATTTCAACCCCGACCACCTTCTTCAAATAATGTTATTTTAGATTACCCATCTAGGTACCAGTTATGATTCATGTCAAAACGAGATTTACGCAACAGCGTTTGTAACGCTCATCGCAGAGAATCGTTGCATTAAGTGAATGTATCTTACTTGAGGCGGACACTAAATAATGACCTTCTTAATGAATCTTAGTCATTCGACGCAATTTACACCATTTAACGACTTCCCTGCGATCTTGCCACATGTATTCAAGTGTGGCGATCCGATATTAACAATATTTGTTTTTTGCATTCCATGTTAAAATTTACCCCACATTAATTAGTACAGTCAAAAATCGGGCGCAATTTGTTTCTAAAGTTACCTAAACGTGAATTGTCCAGTGGGAAACTGATACAAGTCATTAGGAACATGCATAACCCTATCAATCTGTGAGAACCAAAATTGCTTTCTTGCGACCAACCAGTGGCATGAGGTGCTCTTGATTTCCTACCGGCAGGCAGCAAATGTTGTATTTTTCGTGTCGACGCAGGTGATACCCGAAACCACGGTTTAAACATGATATGATTTTCAACCAAACTGAATCACGTAAAAAGGTGCCCAAGGATAGAAAAAAAGACTTGACATGACGCCTTATAATTTAAAGGCGAAATTCTAAGAGAGCATATCACAACAAGAGGAAAGCTAACCAGCAGAGTCCTCGGGCATGGGAACTTCACCGGGTTGGAGTCCGCCGGGAGCCTTGAGTACGGAGAGGTCGATGCGCCAATCAGGCCTCGGACGTCCATCCTCCGACTGTGGGTCCAGCTGGATGGCCACATTCAGTTTTCTGGGAACCCAGTTATCACCAAGTGTAAATTTGAGCATCTGAACACAGAGGAGGTCTGGGAAGGTTGCTAGGCGTGAGGAGCGCAGGGCCGTAGTCCGTTGGCCTGGCGGATTAGTCGCGGGGGGCACAAAATCCGTTATGGTTTCGTGCTCTGCCCAGCGCACGAGACACGCCTGGAGTTAGAGAAGGGACTTAGACATTAACGGGGGAATGCATGCACTTTGAAGGCTTCAAGATAGTCATCTTCGAATCGTGATGACTCATGAATTTGAAACGCGATAAATACTTCTGGTAGATAAGCAGGAAATGAAGCTTATTTAAATCATATAATTTCATGCAAGATAGGCACAAAAAAGTTCCTTGAATAGGAGAACAAAGCATTAAGAAGCTCACGAAAGAGTTTGGAATTGAAGAAAGAAGAGTGGAGAAAGAATGAGTTTGATTTAGAAACGAAAAGGTAATAAAAGATATTTGGTGAGGACCGTCAATGTCCTAAAGGACTGGCATGCATGCATTTTAGAGAACGTGCATCGGCATTACGATAAGATAAAACACCCCTCGAAATCTAAGTGCCCAACACAATCAAGCAAAGTTTATGGATTCAAATACCATTGGAGTTATATTGCCATACAACTCAACAGAACTAAAGACAAAGTGACGTTCAACATGGATGCAGCAAAGGTAAGCGAAAAAGGCAAAAAACTCCAGCAAATATATCCATTATTTCCTTTGTGGCATTGGAAAACAATGCCGCGAAGTTGCCCTTCTTTCGCCAGGTGGAACGGGGAAATAACTCAACTGTGAATTAGTTTTACTGAGGTAGCGAAAGAATAGCTAATTGAAACAAAGCAAGTCTAGGATTTTGAAATGACCCTCAATTGGCTTACAGGTGATGAAGCCAATCGCAGTCACATGACTCGACAGAACTACCAACCCGAGGTTACCCACTGTTATTTGCTAATTTCGGTAAAACTGAAACAAAACTACAACAGTTTGAAATGTTTAAACAAATCATGGACCGTGGGGTTCGGCCGAAGCCCTACCTCAAGGCTAACTTTCAAGTAAACTTGATCCTCCTTGAAGGTCTGCTTGGCGACCTCGGCTTGGCGTTTACGTTCCTCGTATAAAGCGACCTCGTCGATGTTCGTCGCGGCTTCCAATGGAATCGGCAAACGAAGTATGGTCTCTAGTCGCTCTTTGTACTGAACCTAAACAATCCGACAGATTTAGGCAATAACGTATTCAAGGAAACAGAAAAGCTCTTCCATGACACTGCAGTTTCGATCCAGACAATCTAGACCGGTAATTACATTTTAATCGATTCTAAGCCATATCAAATAAACTTTCGCCAAATGCAATTGGACAACAGATTTTAACAGCGAGAAACTTCTTTTGAGTACACGCTTCGAGATACGAACTACACTTGATGATGAAGCCATAAAGCAAGAAAAAACAGGAAATCCGAGTGAACAGTTCTTTCAAAGACCAAAGAAGAGAGAATGCATCGATGTGAAGTTCAAGGGTTGGCAGAAAAAAATACTGCCAACAGAGCTTTTGCTTGGTCATGATTTGTACAAACGCGCACACATAATTTCGGTAGCACACACTGCACGGTCACCGTTTGGAAGTCCGAGAGATTTCTGGGTTGAAAAGCATTTCTATTTCCGCAGTGACGAGGTTTAGTAAATAATAGGAGGCGCACTAAGCAATGGACTAACTTGTCGAGTAGCGCCGCATTCGAGCCTGTCCTCGACAGCGAAAGTTAGTGACGGCAGTGGAGAGCCGACGCTTTGTGTGACTCCACTCTTGTCCAGCAGCGCCTGGACTTTGGGTTTCTCGGCCACATCGCGTTCAACCAGAGTGAAAAGATGCGCCAAAAATTCCTGGACATCCTGTTGGCGCTTGCTTGCAAACTCCGAGTGGGTCTTACCAATTAGGTACCTGAACATGCGTGGGCGAATTCCTATGAAAAATAAATTTTTCGTCATCCATTTTAACACCTGCTACCTGCAGAGCGGAACAAATCTAATACAAAGATAAACTGTCGAAAAAAGTGATCACGTTGGCCCTCGCAAATTAGGTGAGACATCCTATCAATTTCTTAAGTTTAGGCCAAGTCTCAACTGGCTTGTAGGGAATTTGGGAACAACATAGGTCACTCATTCCACTACACTGCAGCAGCTACCCCAGCTTAAAATGACAGGAGGCATCGAGGCCACGTTAAACAAACTGTCGACGAACGCTCTAGGTGTCACATTCCCTCGTGCCACCACTAAACACCAAATTTTTATCTATAGGGGGCGTACAAGGTCAACGGCAGACCAAAGCGTAAGGAATTTAAGCACCAACAACCGGCGAAGAGCCCAACAGTTATTGAATCCAAAATATACCATCAGGAAAACTAGCAAATACGCGCGAATTTACAGGAAGTCGAATAAAAGTATGTTTAACACATACAGTCAGCGGGTCGCATCCAAGCCCGGTGGGGGGGAGGCTGAGTTAACGCAACCGGTAATCGAGGAAGCACACCACAAACCAACGAACTGCTAATAGTGAGAAGCACAGTGCCAATATGCACAACAACCAAGAGATTAGGGAAAATTTTTGGAGAGTGAACAATCGACTCCGCCAGAATCAACTGCCAAGGTCAGATACGAAAAAGCAAAGCAGGAACAAATTTAGTGGGCTTAAGGGTGAATCGCACACATAAACTAGGTACACACACACAAACACACACACACACACACTACGCATGACAGTTACCTGGCTGCCTCGGCGCAACCTGATCCGAGTGAGAGACGTTTTCGGTGATCGCAGGCGGTGGGAAAGAGAAGGCACCGGAGCAAAGGCCCTGCCCTAGTTTCGCCAACTGAAGACCGAAAGAGTCCACAGCAGACAGGGCATTGCCGGTTTGTGCGACACTTTGCATTGCAGCTTCAATGAATGCGGGGAGAGCGTGGGCGTAGCGATGGCGAAAGACATCAGTGGCGAACAGCACCTGAATTCAATACACAAAAAAATACTCTGAAGGAATCCGAGTGCAGAGAAACTTAAAATATGTGATTTGCGAGGTTATCAAACTCAATACTTAAAAACAGATACTAGCGGAGACTGAATTACACTGGGAAACTACCCGCTAGTTTAGAAATCATGATGCTACATAATACGTCACAGTAAACTCGTATTTACGTATATCGGGTTGCTGGACAAAACGTGCAATAAATCCAGTTTACAAACTGTTGAACTATTCATTAAAAAGACTAGCGGGATGTAAATTGATAGTGAATATTAGATATGGCTACTTTGTCGCCTACTTTGCACCAACAAATATGTGCAAGAAGGAGACCGAAGAAGCCCGGATTTTCAATGCAGAATGCAAATCAGTGCATGGAACAATCATTGAACAAAAATACAACTGAGCATCGTAGCAGTATCGGGACAGAAACAGGGTAGATTCGCGTCGGTAAGAAATGGAGATACAGTGATAGCAGACTTTACGACGAATGAGGCATTATTAAAGCATGATTTAGGCCAAGGAAGCACACCAACAGCCTACCTGAACAACAGAATTGATGTAACACGTGTTGCCGAGGTTCATTAGGCCAGTGAGGCCTGGCCCGAAGAGCGGTGTAAGACATTTTCCTGATTCTTGTAGAGTGAGCCATTCGCCAAGGCGTTCGTTTGCTTCTACCTCCAGCTCCATCACGGTGCGATCGGTCTTTCGCTGGCGCTGCATGTCAATGCCGAAATGGGCGAGATGTTGGGCCAACAGTGGATCAGTCACCATGTCATCCTCCGCGTAGGAAAAGACCTCCGCTGTCTGAAAGCAACGGTGAAAGTGGTGGTTGTCACTTAAATTCACGTTGCCAATACAATAACTGTGACAAGCGAGTCTCCCACCAGGGAAAAAACTATATTTAGGGATTTTCAATACTTATTTTGATATCACGAACATAATAATAGTCAATTAAGATACACACAATGATTTTCGTGGACAAGAAATTTAAAACTACTGGGAATGTCTTCAATTGCATTTCCATTTCAGGGATAAGCATTTTTACAGAAAACCAGGAGACCGCGAGTAGGAAACCAGCATTGTATTTTACAGAGCAAATTAAAATGAAGCACATTACAAAATGTTGAATAGTTACAAAATAGTTGAATAGTGTTAAGCTAGCTCACTGAATCGCCTCTAATTGAATATAACTCGTTACATCACTTTCGTCCCCGTTTTACACACTTCCGAATTATGCACTTCTTATGTACTCTCTCCACTAGCTTAAACTGCTAGACGTTTAAGAGCTACCACAGAAGATGGAATCAACAAAGCAACCAGGGACATAGAAAACGCATTGCAGCTGATATTTTGAAGGCAACTAATGAATTTGTGATAAATAGGTAGCTACACATCTGGAATATGATGTCCAACTATAAATACGGAATAGAAATGATGGCGTAAAATAAAACAATGCAACAGATACTTACAGTTGGCGTAATTGTGCCCAATTTGACAGCTAGCGGGTAACCAGTTCTTTCATAGTGTTCAATTGCATGATTGTTACCACCTGAGCCATCCCAGAACCTCCGACCACAAGAAATCGTTCCATCAGAAAGATTCATCCAAAGATTGGTTGTTAAATCACACTTATGACACTTATGACCACTGAAAGTAATAAATGTAGTAGATATATTATCAGAATTGAATTATCGCATGCTGCGTGTTCCTAATTACGTAAGGAAATACAAGTACGTGACCAAAAAAGCATATAAAACTTAAAAAAGACTATGATTTACACAATTATTTTCCGAAATCAAACGCAGTTTGACTCCAGCAAACGCAAAGTCCCCTAGTTCACACTTCAAGACATAATATACAAATTAAAAACCTACCTCGGAGGTACAGTGACCCCATTGTCTAATTGGACGAGGGTTTGCGCAAACTTTGAGACAGGGCACAGGTTTTCTGCTTCCCAAGCTTCGGCGGCACCAGCCCTTTCAGCAGCAAGTATAGCAGAGTCACATCGCTGAATTGTATTGATGCAGGCAATTACTTTATCAGATAGACCTAAACCCTGCAAGTGCGACATGTCCATGCGATCGGTGTTTTCTCGCGGACAAGGTATATTCAGAGAATCATTGCCAGGAAAACGGCGCAGACACCACTTCTCAGAGATACTGTAGTTACTTTGTGGAAGCTCAAATCCACCAGGTACACCGATTGCCAATTTTTGTGGTTTTCCGGGTTGCGAATCACCATCATCTACAGAAGCGCCGTAAATCGTCACTAACGATCCCACAACAAACTTCGGAGGGCGTTTACACGACATTTATTGGTAGCCATTAATTTTTTTAATTTGAACGAATAAGACTGACTAGAAGATCATTAACGGATATTTTCCGTAAGAAATAGCAATCGCAGAATATGGCAAAATTTAAGAATTTACTTGTTGAAACCTGCCGTGATGTTACAAGAAAATAAATCTGCAGCACATTCCAAAAACACAATAACTAGGCGAAGACAGAGAGTATGCAATAAAAACAGCAACATTGGTGTGTGAGGAAGTGTATGTGGTGAATTTATACTTAAAAACCTATGATTGCAATTTTGTCAAAAATCAAGCATTTAGGCCTTTCCTGAGCCAAGGCCATCACACGTGATCAAGTACCTGATTATCAATTATAGGACGACTCTGGGACTCAGAAAAAAGGAAGATAGTGGAAAGGGAAATTTTAAAACCAATTATAAGACATAGAAGCCTCAGGAAGTAAACCAAAAATCAGCCATTTACCTTTTTGCTTAAGCAATTTTATGATCTTGTATTGTAGAAATAATGAAAATCCAGTTCGCTTAACGTAGTCAGCAACAAATTGAGGGCCTATGCCAAGAAATGTGCGCAGACAGATAAACAACCCGTCGCCGTCATCCGCTGCCGCAAAGGAAAAAGCACACTCGTCCTTATACACTTGAACATTCTCTACTTCATCCGATATTAATGCATCAATTTTAGAAAAAGCCATCACTCTGGCAAGAAAAGCAAACAAACACTTTTTTGAGCAAAGCGCCTTTAGCAAAACTCTTTTCTAGCCGATTGTTGAGTGGTATATTTTAACAGGTTCATGCCTAAAACCGGCATTTTTTCTAAAGTGACTTTACGAAGCAGAATAGCGTGATAATTGCTGATTAAGTAGAGCAATACTGACATATTTGAGCAGGTCCGAAACAGAATTATTGTCTGCATAATGAGCACTTTGTGGCACAATTTTACTTTCGTCCTTTTAAATTTGCATATATAATCACATCAATTACATTACATTTCGCATTCAAATGAGCAACCTAGCTTAAAGCTCTGAAGCCTTTGTGTCGGGGTAATGTTTTGACGTTCTACAAAAGCACTTTCATGCCGCAATATCTCTGAAATACTCATGCCTATTATTTAGGATCCCCACATGTATAGAAATTAAAGCTGCAAAAAAAATCTTGGAAAAAAATTCAAAACGATTTTTTAAACTGAACTTATTTAATAATTTCATCCTTTGGCATTAAATTCTTTGATTGTAAGCAGAAATATGATTAAATGTTAAGTTACCGTGCTGAAAATCCCTCTCAAATGTTTAATGGTTTCTCTTTTATAAGCAAGAATTCGCAGCTCACATTCCGGCTATCGAGTTCTTGACTCTATTTGATTTTTTTACACCTATAACATTTGCTGGAAACCCTTTCTTTCCACCTTGTTTTACTGTTATTTTCCATTCGTTAATTTTAATGCTTGCGCCCAACTCTGGCACTATTGAAGCTCCAATGCTGTACTCAAAACCTACCTGGACCAAAACCATCACTTTTAGGGCCCGATCATGAGAGATCGGAGGCCTACAGATAACGCAGAGTTCAACTGCTGCATTTATACAGTAATTTTGTGTTTATAAAAAGCAATAAGTCGTCAAATTATACATGACCTCTTTACATTAATCTCTAAACAAGCATAGCCGCGTGAAGTGTCGTCCTGATAATCGACTGAATCCATGTTCGCTTACGCATGCTAACAGTGTCCGGCTGACAGCCTGCATTCTAAATACTCAACTGCAAACTTACCCGAATTTATCTCTACCGCCAAGCCTGATAATAATAACAAACACAGTTTTAAATTTAATTCCAATGGAAATATCACTAAAAATAGCCTTATATCTAATTAGCTTCCAGGTAGAGATAGCCTTGCTTAATTCCGATAAAAATACTACTATTTGGGCTTGATTTACTGATCCCTAAAAGATAGTACTGTATGGTTTACACCCTAACGACTAAAACCGGACATTCCGCGAACTCCTGTTTGAATCCCAGTCGCCTCACGAAGCATTCGTCAGACGCTTGTTTGAACTAGAGTAAACCACCACACCGGAGAATGACGGCCCCACTTTCCGCAGATTTTTGACATTACTTAAGATCGACTTTTATTACGAATTCTACCCTCTGTCGGCATTCACATCAATCAAATTTGGGGAAAAACACCATCGACATTTTTTAATGCCACACAACGTAAGCCGTCTCAAGAAACTGTCAACACGCATACATGGTCAACAATAGTGCACTACAGCCTCCAGTCGAATAGACAAAGAGTCTCCCATTTTAAAATCTTGCACTGTTTGGCACTATAATAATAACTACCATACTTTTTGCTGCAGAGGAGAAAAGAAAGTACAAGACGCTGATTCAGGACGTCTTTTATAAAAAAAGGCACAGTACGCGTAACCTTTCCAATTGCACAAAAACTACCGAAAGGTACCTGCTTGTTCCCCGAAAATTGATTAAATGTTATGGAAATCATTCATCCATATTTACCTGGTGGCAGAACAAGGTGCACGACTCGGGAGAAAAAAATATGCTCATATTATTACCTGAAAAACATCTAAAGTTAATTTTGAAGTGAAATATCAGCGCTTGGTGTGTAATGAAAGGCTGATACAAGGAAGATAAATTTCATTTGGCAAATTCTTAACAGGAAGTCATGGTTTGCAAGGAGATGAAGGCCAGCACAACTCATGTAATAACACCGAGAGAGAAGCAGAGCAATGCGCAAAAAACCATTGACCTACGATGACTGATCGAGGCCTTTGGTGCTTAATTCACCAGCCCAGGAATGCGATGGGTCAACTTTCGGAAGCTCTAGGACAATTTTGCCCTTGAGAATCTGCAAAATGAAAAAAAGTGACTCAGAAAAGTCCAAGATATTCCAAATCAGGGAGTGCGAGCACGTCACTTACAACTAAGGCTACAAATGGTTAGCCAGCATAATTAATCATATAAAACTTACAAGTACTTATATGTATTGAATTAATTATCATTTTGTGACTGGTTCTTTTTTTTTCACGACTCATTTTAAGGCCAATGCCTCGACAGCTGTACAGCTACTTCATAAGAAGTGAACCGAAGTTTTCAGATTTGGACGGCATCAGGCGGGGGCTCGCAATCTGCTTTTTCAATGCCACAAATAAAGGTTTGTTTTGAAACTACGACAGAGACCATACTAATTCGATAAAACTAACGGAAACAGTTCCAGTAACTAAGGCACCACCATCTAGGCAGACGAATTGTGGCAATTAACAAGTAGTACAGACAACAAGCTCTTATAGAGTCAGTTCACAAAGCAACGCCTTAATGAATCTTACTGATTGCACCCTCACTGCAGCATTTTCGACTGTCAAAAAACAAGGCACTGTTCAAACATTAAGATTAATCAAGAACTTATTTCAAAATGGCAGTAAATTAACATCTCCAATCTCCTTTGGGGGAAAATGCACAAGGACAGTAAAAATACCAAGGGATAAAGCCAAGAAACGAGTTGTTTCATACCACATACTCAGCCTTCAAAGGAACAATTCTATCCGGGAACTGACGGCACGTGTACTTGAGGCTGCTAGAAGTAGTCTTGAGGTTGCATTCGACGTCCAATGACCTGTACATGAAAGGGGATATAAAAAGAAAAACTACAATTTCTGGCATCGATACTTAAGAGCAAATAATTGTGACTAAAGCAGGTAGGAGAAAGATAATGAGTGCGGGAATGACGGAGTAAGGTTAACCATATACGTCAGTTTCCGCCACCTTGTCAGATAAGGCTTAAGCACGTATCATTATATACTTTCTGGCCTGTCGCTCTGCTATTCTGGCTCTTGTTAAGTATCACAGAGGTTGGTCTCGGTGAGCAGTGCCTTTCGGAATTGTGGGAAGCATAATTCCCATAGAAACAAATTAGCTACAGTGTACGTAACATAGATTTATACCTGCGGTTTTAGGATAATAAGGGTAGTTTATGTTTTTATTGCTCAAATTCACCTTGGTGTGTTCATCTGCACAAAGAAAGCAGAAAAGCATGGTGTAACACATAAAAGATTAGAGAATGGATTACGAATGACCACCGAATCTCCTCAAACAGATGATGCCTTTAGCGGTGAACAAATATACAAGTACAGAGTTTAAAACCCAAAGGAATGCTGATGGATAAAAGCGACAGTTGGGGTTTTGGATCTAAGCATAAGCCCGATGTGATTCAGAATTGCGCTATTTGATGGCCAAGTAGAATCGTATTAATTTTTATGGCGAAGCACAGCAGTTACCATTCGGTCAAGTGGATAATAACATCCGCATTAGGGAGACTGTGTGCGGTGGTGTATTTGACCTCATCTCCACTGCCCGACTGGACGAATTTTCCCCTCACGGAAGGCTGGAAAAGAGCCATAAAGCCCTTACGAGGTGTCGCAAGTTCGGGAATGAGAAGAGTCACACGAACCGGCTGTCCGTCGGCTGCTGTTACAGTAATCATTTTGACCTGGAGTGAGAGACAAAAAGTGGTGACGAGGAGGCACAACCTGTTATATCAAAGTAAAACGACCTCACCAGAATCCGTGGCAAACAAGCAAAAGAAACATTTCCCACTGTAAAAGTAGTCAACGAAAGTTGAAAGAGTAACTGAACCGGTGCGGTGGCTTCATGTAACCAGTAATGCATGCAGGATTATGCATAGTGTATTAATACGCAATAAAAGAAAATTAAAAGGAACCATTTTTGATGCATTTATTTGAATGAAAAACACAAACTTAAAGGAAAGCTAAAGTTAGCTTAATAACCTAAGCTCCTCGATAACTTCTGTTAAGGTTTAACTTCCTCGAAAAGACAAGCAACACATAATTTCGCAGAAAATGCATTAAAATACTTTCTACGCTATGAGTATACACTTCGGGAGCAATATGTGGGTGGATGGTGAATAACCAAGAGCTTTAATGGTTCGTTGCAATGAGATGATGACTTGGACCATACCTGACGCACAAGAAGACAGAGTAATACACAGCACCAAAACAGGGCTACCGAAACTACGTAGAATAAAAAAATCTTTGTGAAGCACGAAACCACAAGCACATGGGCAAACAGTCCTGTGCACAAAGTCTACCGAATAATGCTGGAATTTTCCCATTCGCAGTTTAGCAAGCCCATTTAAGAATGCAACGAATGAAGCAGTGGAGTAAGGAGAATGAGTATATACGAAAACTCAAGGCGTTAAAGATTTTGAAATTTTAAGCAACGAAATTTGCGTCTGCATCCGCAGAGTACGACAATTAAATTCAGTAAGATTGTTCACGCCATTATACATAATAAATTAGAAATGAATGAACGCTTAGAATTAGGAGAAATAGATGCAAATTCAAGTAGGCAGCAGGGAATAACAACAGAGACTGCTAAAAATCGAGCATTAGCGTAAAATAAGACGTTGGTTGTTGAGGCGTCTTAACAAAATAGGGTGCCAAAGGTAATTCGAGGGGAACAAGTTAGCGCGTTCGAATCAGCCAAGCCACAAGCTAATCTTAATACATGCAGGTGGTGACTCTATGGTAGCTACTGGAACCAAATAATTTACCAACATTACTGGACATACAGACCATCTATGACAATGAATTCGGTGTTGTCAGTGAAAAAGGAACTAGGACTATAGAATCAAGTCGGACATACTCTAAATAAAAGCTGACATCCTGTGTGGTGCCAACGAAGTACTGAAACGAATATACCAACGGTTGCTCCACCCTCCGACACAGAGTTCCCCTTTTCGCAGCATGTCGCCAGCCGCGCAGATCCTCAACTCCCCCCTCATACACATGTATATTTGTCTTGAATTATTCTCATACCTAGGTCTCGATGTCAGCACTCTGTGACCCACACATCTGAGGAATAAATACACACGCGCAAACCCCACACACGACACAAACGTGGTTGATCTCTGAAGTAGATGGTTGTGTTCACGTCCCCTCCGTTCGTTTTCTTCATCGCGGGTATTAGAGAAGCGTAATCAGAACATGGTTAATTCAGTGGCCCCGGCGTGGTTTAAGGCCACATGCCGGGGCTTACAGCAAGTGAATAAAATAGTACTTAAATTTGATTTACTACTATATGAAGATTCTACATCCCTGCATCTATGTAGACTTCCATAAGACAACCAAAACAAGATAAGACCAACCCGAGTTTGGGAAATTTCATGAGTCTGCATATGATGCACTATAAGACAAGAGACCTATAACTAGCTTTTACCATTAAAAATTTCCTAAATGTTCAGAGTTCTGAAGTGCAATCGATCATAGTTATTAGGTGGCGACGTTTTATATAAATAATATGTCTTTACATTGAACAAATATAATAGCATGTAAAGGAAATACATACCAAAACGACAAAACCAAGCAGTTCAGAGAAATTAAAGGATGAGGCAGACAAAACACGAATTAAAGACAAAACCGCATGATTTAGAAATGATATATAGGAATCGAGTTAGAAACGAATGTGCAAATATAACATGTCACGTGGCAGACTAATGAAATAAGCAATCAAAAGTTGGACAAACTTCTAACTTCCCTCAAAAAAGTTGCAAGAACATAATACAAACCAGAAATAAGTAACACAGGCTATTTCTTGTTGTGCAACTTTTAAAGTACTACGAACGTACTAGATATTTCATTAAATCACAACCAAGATTGCTAATGAGCTTCTATATAAGAAAACGTTCAATGCAGTTTTGTACCTAAAACGACTACGCAAATGTGCCTGATGGAAAATAAATTTAGACAAAACTAAAAGAGCATTTAGTAAATGAAAGTCGAAATTACAACCAATACATAATTTGACCTTCAGATTAAATTAGTCACATCATGTACGCAACTGCTAATTTGCCTGTCCTATATACATCAAATTCAGTTTTATCGTGTTTCAGATGGCAAGTGGCACTCACTGCACTTTTCCTGTAAGGACATTTTACAACAAAACATTTAAAATAACCTTGTGCTACAGCAATAATTGACGTATTCTCATTGCAGGTCTTAACATTTCTGAAATACAATGCTATTCGTTGAGTATTTTCACTGTTCTTCATTTTTACAAAGATAGAAATATCTAATTTTAATAGATTTGAATTAATTTACAACTGAAAAATCACAAAAAATTCAACGAATCATGTATTCAAATTGCTCTTTAAAAAATTGAAGAAATGATGGCGCTTGAAGCAAATACCATATACAATGTCTCATATTATTGTGACATCTAAAATTTGTCGTAAATTTTTAAAATTGATAGGGTCATAAAAAAGGGTCCGCAAAGTGATTGACTTTCCTTAAAAGGACATCGGTTTGCCTGCCTATTAGTGCTTAATCAAGCATCATGCACTCACCACTTTTGTTTCAATTGACACGTTTGTATGTATTGTGGTCGAAATGGTGTTTGTTTCGTCGGTCTTGTTTTCGCATTACTTATGTAAGTAATTTTTCCGCTTGTATTTGTGAGGGTTTCTTCTTTAATTACGATGTTTATTGGTGGGTTACCGCTTGTATACAGCAGATTTTACTGATTTGCACTTGTATTGCACTCAGTTCGATTTCTGCTTGTAGTGTGAAGTGGGGAATTCGTCACAGATTGAAAATGGTAGGGTTGCTAGCTTGTTTCTATTCTGCACTCCCCAATATAACCTTCCTTCTTAATGTTTTCTAAATATGTGTGTTAGTAGCTGAATTGACTTACTGAGTAACTCCATAAAATGAATTTTGATTCCTGAATGTTTTTGACTACTTTGCACGAATCGACTTCAATGTCGAAGATTTTTGTCCCCTTATAAATCCTGTCATTTGAAACTTGTACTAAGTAGAGTCTAAATTGTTATACCTTTGGCTGCTTATTTTATCACTTGCACCGTTTTAAATGTTCCATTCATACAAACATAATCGTACATGCTCTTTACTTTGTATTGTGGTGAATAAACCATATGTATGCATTAGTTTGTATTTTTTTGCGGTGTTTGTTGGTAAAATGTTAATACTGGAATTGTATGTCGTGTTTTTGTAGGTTTAGACCGACGGGAGAAGAACTATTCATAACTTTGGGATATGGGCTCTTAGGTCTTGCTTTTCTAGTACCGCCAGATGTCCTACTTTCCGCTGGCCTTACCATTGAAAACATATTTCGCCGGTTTCTAGGGAGCGAAGAACTCTTCTTTGCGCACTACCATCTTCGAAGAACATCTCTCGTAAAGGCTGTTATCAGCTTTCTTCCTCTTGGTATGCATTGACGTTAATCGAGGAAAATTGAGCTTAACCGGATTACAGTTTGTAAAGAAATTTATAAGAATAATTTGGAAGAACAAAAGCATGTATATTTGAAATCATTTCATTTTGATCACGTTTAATATTTGTTTAACATTTACACTCTGGTCGGCCTTATTTTAGGACGAACATTAAAAATAGACCAGGTTCAAATTCGATATTTACTGTTCTGCGCCCTTTATAGTGTGGAGTTGCGTGTATTACGTACGCCCAAACCTTCTAACTCCGTTGTTTCTTTCACTTTGTAATATTTTACCTTTTCATGCCATTGGGTCATATTTTGTTGAAAGTTAAAGTTACTAAATGAAGGAAGAAACCTAAAAATTCTCTTGTGGCAAGTGTTGAGGAAATCAGCATTCATCAAAACTCACCACCTAGTTGAAACTTTGTCATTGTTTACATAAATTTCCCAATCACACCACTTCATTTGCTCATCCTATCTCAAAGATGCCCTACAGACGACTCTCATCAGCGTTAATTTCCCTTGATTTAGCCGATCATCCTCTCCCGTGGCATATATGGACATTCTTTTGTTATGTCGCTAGATTCTTGGCTGAGGTTAAAACCTTACTGCATGTGTTCTTATTCGATAAGAGATTCGCTTAATTGCGCTTGCGGCTTGTGTCTACTGGTAACCAGTATTCAAGAAAATTTATTACTACCGATTCTTCAATTCATTATTAATTGAGTTTGTCTCTGGCATTCTAGTATCATTCTGTTGCTTAGTTTCTCACCTAGATATCCGTATTTAGGCTACTTTCTTACCTTGCGTGCATTTGCGAATCCAAATGCTGGCTTGTCGAATGTCGTTGGAAATCTTGGTGTTGCTGTTACTGTCGTGGTGACCACCATAGCTTGGGCTTATATCTACCTTGTGTGGTATGCGAATGGCCAATGGACTGGCCATCCCTCCATGCACGCCATGAAACGGATAGCTGAAAGCCTCCTCTCCTCCACACCCCCCGTGACCTCGGATGAACTCACTTTTCTTCGTTCTCATCCAAGGTCAAATTTTTTCACTATACTTAAGTATTGAGATGATTCTTTTTGTACTCAGATAACGTCTCCGTAATACTAGAGCTGTGTTTCATGTGTATTCTTAAATTGCACGAGTGTTTAATCTGGGGCGTTTTTAAAGACATATCTTGATGTTTACTGTTTTTAAATTATATCCGTGGAAAGATAACTCATTCAACGATCTAGTCGCGAAACTGGTGGTAGTTGAGTCCGATGCCCGTGTGCCGCATCGTCATGTTTTGGTGACCGGTTTAATTTATCTGTGTTATCTTTATTGCTACCTCTTTTCGCTACAGTGCTATCATTCACAGTGTACTAACACACTTCATTTTCCGGTTTCGTACCTTTGGAATTAAGACATGCCAATTTTGTCTAAAACACTGAACACCAGTATTGCTAATTTTTTGCTTGTGCAAGTGCTTACCGATCCTCCTTTTTGATTGATTCCGATTTTCACAATCACTTAATCTGCCTTGTTTCAGTTGGCAAGGTGTGGCTTCTAGCATAAACAAGGAATTTCGTCAAATGGAGAAATTTGTGGCCTACTCTGGTCGTGGTTTGACTTCTTCTTGGCCGGGGCGTCGCATAGTTGTAACCCCCTCGTGGATCCTCTATTCACACCGGACAACCTTTCTCCCCATCTGCCAACTCATCACGCGAATAAGTGCGGTTGTCGTTGAGACACGAAGCATGACTAGCCAACGGGCATCGGGGGGGTTGTCCTATGGTGACGATGACGAGTCAGCGCTTAGAGGTTCATCAACCATGGCAACCGTCCGAATTGTGGATGTCGATGCTGGTGCTTGCTTGTTATCCTTCGAGTAAGCTTTTGTGTTGTTACACAACTTCTCAGTAGACATTAAAGGAGACTCTTGTTTGTAGGATGTTATTTTTTCTGATTGCGATTTCAGTTGCAAGTAATGTGGGGAATTGCAATGTTTTAGCTCGAAATTAGCACTTTGACTTTTATTCAAAATCGTAACCACTTTCCGTTCTTTAGTTTGCCGGCTGGTGATCTGGAAAACCTTCGAATTTACCTGCAGTGCCCACTGGTCTACGCTCAAGGCGTATCTCTCGAACCATCCATCATTCAGAAATTTCTGGACGCCTTTTTTTCAGTTGTTAAGGAGAATGAACCGATTAGTCCGCCTTCACACGCGGTACGCCTCTGCTGGCCCTTCTTCTTCAATCTCATAAATGCTTTTGTTAAAACTAACGCCCCCATCATTGGTCGAAAATCGTGCACAAAACAAGCCCCTTTTCAAAACCGAAGTAGCAGGAGTAATTTTCTCCGAAATGCGTCACGTATAATGCGAATGGGTTGTCTTAATCGATCCGGACCTTCAAACGGGTAACTCAGTTGGGGGGATGTTCCTTTAAAAAATTTGCCTTATTTATCTTTTTTAGAAGTTTTGATGCGTTGCTCTGTATGTTCATAGACATTCGGGGGAACCGGTTAGTGAAAGGCGATTAAAGTGGCAACCTAAATGGTGTCGCCCAGACTCGGGTTTAGCCTAGCAAACAATAAAGGCTGTAATTTATGAAGCAGTTTATGGGCTGTCCCATTTTATTCTAGTGAAGTAATTACTGCAGAGAACGAGTCATTTTTGGGGACCAATGCCGCGCTCCAAAGTGCTTTTTTCGTCAGATGTGAATGTAAATGTGATGGTTGTAACAGTTTAGATGGTCGCTAAGAGCAATGAACCGCCAATTTTTGCTTGTATAGTGTCAGCCTCTACAGTGGTTGGTATTTCGATATTTTAAAATCTGCCTTGCGAACTCGTCCGTGTGTTTTAGATACAACGCCCCCTCTTAACTCGTCTTACGTTAGTACTGACTATTCATGGTGCGTGTTTGTTGCCGTTAAATTTTAAATCCCTGAGGATATCGTTTCTCCCCATTTTTCCCGACAGCCTCGACATGCACTTTACTAGAACCATATTGCGTCTTCTGCACGTGACATTTTCATCTTCAACCCATTTGGTCAGGAAATTAGACTTCCTTTTACACCCTCCTATCACCAACCATTCATAGGAATTAAATTTAATTAATTCCAATACCTGTGAAAATTTGTAAAATTGAATAATTCACCCTTCTCATAATTTGCATTTCCCAAAATGCGCTTCATTGTTGACTTGGTGTGTATAATTCGTATTCTCTATGTTTATTTTGGGGATTGTTATTTTGAATCCGTCGAAGCAACTGATTTAAACAATTTAACTCTTAATTTCCTCACGATCCTCGGTTCTTACTATGCTACACAGAACTAACCCTGATTGTTGCATACTTTTAGACAATTCCCAATGTGCCACGCAGTAAGTGATGTTTTTTTTCCTCATAGGAACCGGACCTCTGTATTGGCTGCATGTCCTCCCAGGCGAACGTCATTCTCAAACGAGCCTGCGACGGTGGCGGTTGTGGTGTGTGCCGATGCCGGCCAATGTGGTGTGCCTCCTGCCTGGGTCGGTGGTTCGCCTCGCGCATGACCCAACTGCGCAAACCCCCCTCCGAGTGGCTGGCATCCCGCGTGCCCTGTCCCACGTGTCGCACGCTCTTCTGTGTGCGAGACGTGTGGCCTCTGAAGGAAGCCCCATGAGTATTTCTTCACTGTCTTTCTTCGCGGTCAGGTCCGTTAATTTACACGTGCCTTATCACCTTCTCGCCATCTCTCGTCTTCTGTTATTTTTTGGTTACTGGAAACTCTGTACTATACTTTAACACCAGCTTTTGTGTTAAAAATTACATGCGTAATTTCCCAGTATTCATTGTACAATGTCTTCATGCCACCTTCCATGCGGCCAACTTCGAGGTTTTACATAACATCACTGGCTGTGGTCTGCCGTTTCTGATCACTGCCTCCTTCTACAAGCTTTTCACTACCACTTCTACTTCAAAAAACACACTGAGCCGCCGAACGAAGCCCCATGTTCCCCTTTAATGCCCGAGGTGTCGTCACTAATTGGCTAATAAAGCATTTTTTGCAGTCTCTCTGTTGTTTGGTTCGTCTTTTTGTATTTTTGCTTGCGTGGACCCGGTCTATCTTTAGAACTACTTCTCTAACTGTGATCCCGTCAGATGTTTAAATGCAGAATATCTCATCTCCGCTTTGAGCATACTTACATCGGCGGGATTTACGCGATAGTTGTGGTACATGGAGCTAATTCACTAGGGGCGGTGTGCAGTCGTGTAAATGGGATCGGACCGGTTCAGCTAGGCTCTTCCTCAGAGCTTTCCAGTATGCACCCACACTTGACACGACAAAAGGTCAAATATTTTGCTTGGAAGAAAAGGGAGTCGTCTCAAGGCGGCACATTAGTGGCCACCTAAGCGATGTAGATCCTTGTATTTATAAAAAAAAAAACAAACTTAGTAATTTAGCCTAGAAGGTGGTCTTGAAACCCAGCTATCGTTTAACGACGAGGGTACAAATGGTGTTGAGTAAACGGCTGTTTCTTTTGTGTACAGCGATTGACTTTCTTCGGATGGGGGCTCAGCCAAGCATTCTAGAAGGAGGCGCATCTAGTTTGCCGGAAATTGGCTCTGGTAGGTTGTGTTGACTTTCACCTAATACAATCCTGTTTGTTTGATTTTAAAGGCGTAAGTTTTCTCCCCACACACATTAACAGTTAATCACCCTTTAAAAACTGCCAAATGCTGAACTTCCTTGGCTATAGGCCTCGTACTTGTCGCCGATTCGCAAGGCGGCAAAAAAATCGATTTTAGCGTTGCATGGGGGGATTTCCAAGCTGGCGCGACGGGACGGCCGACCATCTCTTTCTTCGTTACAGGCGCTCCGGTCATGTGGTTTTTGGGCTTGAAACCTCAGTTTAGTGCAAAAGGTATTAGTGCCTCTCCCCGGCGTCATCGAATAATTCTCTCTAGTGGCGTTCATTGGGTTCCCTGAGGTTATTTGTCAATCCCACCTCAAAGTTTTGCAGGTCAGTAATCAAGTCAGTTTCCCTCAATTCATCCCGTTTTAGCCTCCCTAGTTGACATGGTGGAGATATACAAGCGTCACTATGAGAGGGTAGCTGACCTCGTCTGCCGTAAGCAAGAGGAAATAATCTATCTAGAACAGAAGGTAATATTTTCCATTATCTGCATTCAAATTGTAAACAAGCGTAGGTTGAATGGCCCCTTTTGAAGTAATCGTCAATTATTTAACGGCCGTTCCAATTTGCGTCACATAATTCGAATTAGGAACTGCTTCGAGTATAAATACGAAGAGCGTAGGTCTTAGCAGTCAAATAATTTTACAGAAATCAGTAGTTCCGTTAATGTCTTTAAACTTGACTCTAAATGGTAGCAATCCTGGTTTTCTGAGTTCTAAAGTAGCCATGATTTTATTGATGTACTACTTAAATGTTATCAGTAACCGTTTTTGACTTTAGGTTCAGTACGAATCGTATAGGGCCAAAGAGCTGATGCTTCTTCGTGAGAGGGGCGGCTCCTTTCTTAACCACGTACCTTGTGAAACATCAGAAACCGCCGTGCCATCAGGCTCGTCCGCTGCTGGGTCGTATCAGTTGCAGCGTATTGTGAATGGTGTTGAGGAACTCCATAACCTTTTTACCACCTGCAACAACATGATTTCTCAGTTGACATCTCAGGCCAATGAACTCGATCAAAAGCTTAAACTCGAGAACAGATAAACTTAGTCATTTACTTGTACTCCTTGCATTTTTGATAATTCCTTACGCTCTTCAGGTACACGTGATCGTGCAAAACCGAACTATAATTTCGACTAATTTATTCTTTAATAACTTCAGCTACTTTACGCGCATTATTCTGTTTGAAAAAGATTATCCTGCTGTAGAAAAAGCGGAAAGGAAGCATGTAGCGCGGCAATAACACGATCACTGTCCTTTATTTTCTGCCCGTAGTAACGAGAGGAGTGATAGGTGACAAGGGGCGCAGTGTTACTTGTGGATTGTGCTAGATAGAGTAGTTATTTGAAGGAGTGGCGGTGTAAGCAGATCGGATTGGGTGACCCAGATTGCCTTTAAGAGGCCTTTTAACTGATCTTTGCAGTATGGCGATGGGATTAGAAATCATCGCATCTAGTGAGTGCCAAGTTATTCTCAAGGCAAGTTTGTAGTGGACTGACAGCCACCTCGCGTGAGTGATGCGTGCGTGAGGGCCCGAGTGGACCAATGACTCACCCTTTTTGTTATTGGCCTCTGTCAGCATCCGTCGGTTACGCACGCGTACTCATGCGCCCACGAAGCCACTTGGGTGGTTTGACACCAATAGACGGTCGTGTTCTCTGCCGCCTCATTTGCCCCTACCCTGGGGTTGTGAGGTAGTGCTAAATTCAGCTAGCTGCTGCAAGTTCTCCTAGAGTACAATAGATGCCTTCTTGGTATAGCGAATAGTCAAGAGAATCAATGGCAGTGCCGAAGTGACTGGTACATACTTTTATCGAAGTTAATCCATGCCAAAAGACGGCATGTTTGTGCGCGGGCCCGTTGCTTCGCTGACATTAGAGGGGGACTTTAGCCCATAAGTACACTTTGGCGAAGGTTAGACCGAACGAAACAATCAGCTATCGAGATGTTAAAGTCAACCGAAATGCTTAACAAATCGCTTTTTAAATTGGGCTGGAAAATGTTGTACCTCAGCGGAATAGTAAGGAGAAGTTCGACGTATAACACCAGACTATGTACCGGTGTCGATTAGGCTTTGTAGTTTTCAACTATATCGACTTTTTAAGCACTTTGGTTGGTTGTCTCCTTCGTTGATTGGCCATCTCTTATACTGCCGGACAGAGGGTGCCTTTTTCCAGACAAGGGTTTGTTGATTTGTTTGCACTTTATTGGACCTGTGTTCCATTCATCAAGCAGACGTTTTGTATAATGTAGTTTGAAATTGCCATGAGTACGTTCACCAACCGTCGGCGCTGTTTTCAATTCCAACGTTAAAATAACATAATTCTTAAAATCCTAGCATACAGTAGTACCGTGTTTAGTAGTGCACGACACTGCGGTAAGTAACATAAGAGCATCCATAAATTTGCGCTTCAAACGAAGGTTATTGACTCTTTGGAAAAATTATTCAGGGTTTAACAACTCCGTGATTTCGATGCCCATTCACGATAAACTATACACTTTCTTTGCTTTAAGGCTAATTTGGTTGACATGATGATATTTTTTAACATTATAATTTACGACCTTACATCGCTGTAATTATTAAATGAAAAAAATTAGAGATCCAGATTAAGAAACCTCGCCTTACCCTCCAAATTATGCAGTTATCCCTTTAGTGGACTGTCACCTTTTAAAATACAAGTGCCCTTTCCTCTGAATTACTTCGCTTGACATGCATAAAGAATAGCCTCGAAAAATATTTGCTTTACTAAGAGGAAATGAAAACTGTTCCAGGAATATTAAATTAAGTTATTAATAGTTATGTAGAAATGCTCTTGACTTATTTGCACCCTGCCACAGCCAAAACGTATTTCGCACATGTACCTAAAAGCGAAACTGCGTGCTGTCACTTGAAATTTCATTTTAATTTCGGATATTTACCACTTTTACACGTCTTTCTCGAACCCATTTTCACGAACATCTTGCTGGTATTTTCTAAGGTACGAAGTCACAAAGTGTGATCGGTATGTGATAATCTATTTTTCATTATTTTTTTTTCATGTTCGCGCCTTTTTATCCTTGAAATTACGGATGTGTCGAGGCACCACCTCTAGCTTATTTGCTAACACTTTAACCCCTTTTCTACGTGTTAATTTCGTGTTTCGCTTACAGAGGTGGAAAAATGGCAGTCCTAATGTCGTTTTTATTTTAATCTTTACATGTATTCACACGCCAAGGGTCTTAATTTCCCAAATTGACGGCTCACAATTTTGTTCTGATCATTTATTTGCATACGAAACCTTCCGATTTGTCGGTTAAAGTGTTTAGTGTGGATGGCAAATCGCACGAACACAGACCAGAACCCTACTGACAACAATCAAATTACCAAGTTAATAAAAACAGCCTCATCATATAAAATAGCCAAAAAATTACGAAAAATGGATTGAGTAAAATGGATAATTTGAGACCACGCTGCATTGCTGTGCCTTTAAAAAAAGATAACATAAATTCTGGCTATATCAATTAGGATACTCACATTGTATTACACAAACAAATCACAGCTTCCTTGAGAATTCTAATAAAACTGTATTCTCCAAAATGTCATTTCTACATGTATTTGAAGGACAACGCTTTATCCTTGGGTCAAAATCATTTAAAAAAGTCAAAATTGCATTGATTTAAGGTTTAACAGGGTATTTGCAAATGGAGATTTCAATGTACGGAAAAAAATTGATTACGTATTGATCCGGTCTAAACAAGTACGCTTGACTCATGTCCCCACACAGTGGCTAATCATGAAGGGTAGCGATATTAAGGTGTACAAAAACGTATACAGCGTGGCTGACTGTGCGTCCCTTGTACATTGGCGTAGAACCTTATCATAAACTGCACTGCCTCGATACATTCAAAATGGCGTAGTTTAATATGCCTAACAGCTATCTGAACCACCGGACTTTTAAGTTGCCCGATCTTACGTCAATATTCCATCATTTTGTAAATTTGTAATTGT